ACGCAATATCAAAATTATTTGCGTATCGCGAATTGGGAATGCAAATTGTAGAAGGAAAACGATATAATTTGTGTCCGCAGCCGCGTTAGAAATTATTCCTCACTTGATTTAATAATCATTTAATCTCTTTTAAGATATAGATAGCTATAAAAGCTCATCTTGACATCGCACGATGATGCTCGAGCAAGTTATCTAACCCAGGCCAAGGACGAATCCATCGAGCTCGCTTCTTTCCTCTCTCATTCACTTATTTCACTCCTCATCGTCACTCTCCATCTCTACCTTATTAATCTTCGCTCAATTCATATTCCGGAATAGCAGAGACGAAGAAGCATCGCAAAGTCGCGAAAAAAAAAAAAAAAAAAAAAATACGCAAGGTTGAGGCTAGCGAACGCGTTTACAACATTACGCGTTATCAGACTTGAATTTTTTTCGATTTGTATTTTTCAAATGTCTCTTCCTAGGCAGACGATGCAGAAATTGCACTTTTGTGCACTGATTGCTCATTCATAGCAAAAATGCAATAGCGATCATCTAGTACGATAGTTTGTTTTATAATGAATCAAAAATTTTAAGTCAGATCCGAAATTTTAAATATATTAAAATTATTTTAAATATATATATTCAATATATTTATATGTTAAAATAATTAAATATTAAATGTATTATTTAAAATATATATGAATTTTATATTAAATATATTGTATATAATATTTATATACAATAAATTATAAATTATATATAAATTTATATTATATATTTTAAATTTATACACATATTAAATTGTTAATATCTTGATAAAATAAAAAAAATAATAAATCAAAATTGTATATAATAAAAAAACTCTCTCATATAGTTACATTACATATACAAATATTTTCTTGATTTTTAATAAACAAAGACCATTCGATGAATCTCTACAGTAAATATTTCAATTACTATATGTATATTTTATTATTCATATTATATAAATATTGTAAAGAGATTTCACGATTAATTGTGCACTGCAATCACTATGTTAACGCGTGAGAATTTTGTAGCAAAGTGCAAATTTCATGCACCGATGCTTCGATTTTGCGATCGATCAGACCCGCACAATGTCATACATATAATATATTGTTTGCGCGAAATACATATCATGTTCCGAGCTCCTCATGACATATTTATTCACCTTGATGAGCAAAAGCAGAGTTAAATTTGCTTTAATTATATATTTGTTAATTTTTGAACGCATAACATGCGTTGCAGTAGTATTCGCCTCTTTACGTCTCATAAAATATCTCCAAGAGCAGAGATATTCATATAGACCGTCTCGCAGCTTTAAAGTTCGTCAAACAACCTCTTAGTCGACCTTCGCGCAAACGTTATCAAGGTGATCATATCTAGATCACAGGTATTCTACCCTTATTTTTGAAAGAGTCTCAAAGTCCTCTTCTTGCTTTTGCACAAGAAGAAGGAAGATATTCAAGAGAAAATTTATCTTGAATAATGATACTTAACTTTGCCTTTTCGATTCGTTTCTTACGTGTAAGACCGAAATCTACGTAAATTATAGATAGAATATTGATAATGCCATTGTAAATGCTTTGCCACATAGAGGGAAAAGACGAACAAAACGATTTTTTTTCAAGTTTTATTCGAAAAAAAAAAACGCGAAGAATTTCTTAGAAAACAATAAATGAAAAAAAGATATTAGATTCAAGTAGAAAAATTATATAATATAAATATATTATTAATAATATTAAATGTATATATATAATATACAATTTTGATTTATATGATATTTAATTCTTAATATTATAATCATTAATATTTTTACATTATAATATATTTTATATATTAATATCAATGTAAAGATATTTAATATGTCAATATTAAAATATATTATTAATATAACGTAATGTAAAAATATATTATTAATAATTATAATATAATAAAAGAACTAAAAGAAAATTCGCGAGAAGAAAAACTTCGATATGATCGTAATATATTTAAGGAAGAAGATGTACAATATATAAAATAAAAATGAGCGCTATGTGCGCGATTTATTTTACGACGAGTAGACACGGCGTATTTACATAACGAGATGTAAAAGGGCGAAATGTTAAAGGGGTTATATTTTGTGACGTGTGTAGCGAGGCCTCATCCACACACACACACATATATAGTATTTAATGCAGTACTTTCGTAGTTGTCTCTTCAATTATTTACAAGCAAGAATGCGTGATATATTATGGGTGGTTCTTGGTCGGAAAAAAAAGAGAAAATTATTTTCTTAAGAAAGAGAGAGAGAGAGAGAGAAAAAGCGTGTACAGAGAATACACATATACTATAATTTCCAAGTGTTGTATGTTTGTCAGTCAGATTTGGCCAGCGGGACCCACGAAAAAGGTTCGCCAGATAAAGGATATGAATGATACAAAAGCAATTTCTCCGGCAAAATGGTGGGCGAAAAGAGATATGTCACGACCATAATATCACAGTATCACGTGCATATAAGCGCAGATAACCGCTCACAGCAGAAATCGAATTTTCGAACGCATACGATGATTTAGCGATCTGTAATAATCAAATCCGAGGCCAATTAACCGATAATTGTGCGAACGATATAAACTTGTAATTAATGAATTAATTTAAAGGATTTTTAAGTCTTCCCACGCATCAGAATCGCGAATATGAAATGTATATAGAATTGCGTATGAAAGTATTAATGTATAATTTCTGTCGAAGATATATTATTACAAAATTATTGTTATAAAATTATATAGTAATTATTATAATCACGTTTATCTTTATAAATTAATATAATTTATATTTTAGTACACGAAAATTAAAATTTATCTCTTACTTGAATCAGATATAGTAAACAGATAATAGTAAAAAATAGAAAAAATACGAGTAAAGATAAATATCAAAAAAGAAATATACTACATGTTAATAATTATTTTATTATCATTAAAAGAATTTTTTATCCAAAGCACCGTTGCTTTTACATTTTTAATTTCACTCTCAAGAAATTCCCAGAATATTTCAACTTTGCTAAAAAGTTTGCTTATGAAATAGTACTTTTCCTGCATATTTTATTCGCGAATCAAAATGCATATGTTGATGCGCTAAGATTTCAAAATATTTTACTCGTTTCCGTGAACTTATTGCACGAATTTATTCTTTCATTGCCTTAGCATCGCGTATGCTGGCTCATTTTTTCTCACGTCACTGAATTCCGTTGTAAGCAAAACCTGCGAAAAATTTCGGAAGAAGTACGATGGAAGAAGTGCATCGCGGAATAGATTCGCATCATGCAAGAAAAGCGGTGAGAAATAAACATGATGCGATGAAAACGATGTGTAACGATAAAAATCCGTAAAAATATCTATAATATTAATTTATATATTTATATAATATTATTATATATATATATATATATATATAATTAAAAATTATATATTTCTAATATATATTAATATATATCTAATATATATTAATTTATAAAGTATTCTGATTGAAGAAAGGAATAATTTGTTTAATATTATAGAATATACAAGTGTACAACCAAGAAAGCGCATTTTAAGGAGCTTCATGAATTGTCTTCGTAAACTGTAAAGCGTATAACAAAGCGTGGCCTACTTCAAAAGAAATCATTATTTGTCGACTCCGAGTATCTGGGCTGGTTTTGAGTAACAATAAAATACCCAAGATATTTTACGAAAAGGGTAATATATCATATAAACCAAAAATGCTAAATTAATGTTCACATCGCGTAAAAATAATGAGAACAAATGCAATTTTCCCTCCAAATTTGGTTTAAAATTATAATCCTCGAACTAAAAATTAAAATAAAAAATTTTTCGAGATCTCCTCGAGATCTATTTTTTCGAGAAATAAAATTACAGATCTATTCAAAAGTACTGACTATGTAGATTGACGAAATTATTAATAACGATTAATTCGCGTGCAATTATAAATCGATAATATCCTGCTGCTTAATCGCATTACTCTGATGAATGTATGCTAAATCTCGTGCTTGTAAAGCGTGAAATGCTGCCGTTAGCTATTTTACCAATGAATATGTATATTGCTCGCAGAGAGAACCTCTCCCTTTCCAGGAAATCAAATCTCTATTGTATGTAGAGTGGAAACGAACGATCGAACATGAGTGGACACCGAAATGCACGAGGCGCATTCTACCTATACGTACAACACAATCAACATCTATCTCTTTCTCTCTCACTTTCCACGTTTTTGCAATTTTTTAAATGGATTTTAGCGTCAGACCGACAGAGAACGCTATGAATTTTATTATTCTACTATTTTGCACCGTAAGAAAACAATGATGGATATCAGGATGATAAATAATATCAGCTGATACAAGTACTTTCACATACATGTGTTTTCCAGCATCATATATAGACATATACATATACATACACACATATATATATATATATATATATATATATATATATATATAGGGAGAAAATTTAATTAAAACTTTAATAACACCATAATTTTAAAACGAGCGCGGGATAAAAAGAAACCTAACTTAATCCTTTTTCTAACGTGGCAAGAATGCCTGAAAATTGCAGCCAAAATTGGATATAATCTTCACGCAAATGCTTTTTCTTTAAATATTAGAATCAATTCCAGCGAGTGTGTATAGTGATGTCACGAAAACTGAAGGCTAAAGTCAATATTTGAAGATAACGCAAGGTTATTCGATGAAAGTTCTCTCAATTTCATTTATCCAGAAAATAGCTTGTAAGTGCGAGGCAAATTTTATTATATGATACGTTGATGGAATACATGTAATTTAATGCAATACGTATCTGTGGACTTCCGCCCAGATAGTCGCAATGAAAAATAGAGTATACTGCAATGTAATGAAACGAATCATATACAATGCAATGCGCTTTAATTCGGCGGAATAATGTAAATGGCGTTGAAAATGATCCCCTTTCGCGCCGAATAATACATCTATATTATGTTATGACAAGACTTACCGGCACCAAAAGCCTGTTGTCCATTTTTGTCATCGGTCGGAGTGCCCTCTAAACTCGCGGGGCCGCTGTCCGCTCCACCGGTTGCACTGTAAAAATATTTTCTCCGTGAATTTCACTGGTTTTTGCCCGACAAATTTTCGCGAACTGGCAGCATGCAAACGATAATAATATTGAGTCCTCGCACGTGAAATATTGGATTTCGAAAGCTTCAGTTTTATAAGAGTAAACGCCTTTCGATAATCAAGTATGAACAAAATTTTGCGTATAAAGCAACATGATTCTTTTACAAAAAATAGCTTAGATTTTTGCGTTTGAGATTTCTCGAATTACAATAAATAATTTTGTACAAGTGCGGAAAGTTTATATAAAATATTATAACATTACCGTGTAAAGGAATAAATGCGATTGTAAAATCATATGTCAGAATTAACTGTTGTATCTTTATATTCCTTTTTTTATACAGAACGATTAAATTAATTTATTAATTTCTGAATAGATTAAAAAAATATATCAACTTTCAATGATCATTTTTTTTATATTTTTGTCCACATTATGATTGATGTTTTCTGCTAACAATAAGTATTCTAATTTTAAATTCTAATTAGAATTTCAATAAAGTCAATGTTTGTGACGAATTTAATCATTCATAATTTTTGATAAAATTACAGTTTTCTTAACGGCCAAAAATCATAGTTTATTTTTAAACACATACAAGAAAAATAACAATCGAACCAATGATTAAAACAAAGGTATATAAAGATTGAAAAATATGATTTTACAAGTTCAAAAAGTTTCTAAAATTTTTATGTAATTTTTAAATATTAAAAACATTTAAAAATCATTCTATACATCTCAAAACATTTTTAGAAAATCATCTATACTTTTTATAAAAAAAAAAACTTCCAATATTTTTTAATCATGTTCAAGTACATGCGTCCTCTTAAAGTAAGGAAAAAACTTCAATATCGATATAAAAAAAATTTAATTTAATATCCGAAATATTATTAAAGACATGTTCCGATATTTTTACATTTGAAGTTTCTTATTTTTAATCGAAATAAAATAAGCGAAAATATATCATTTGCGAGTGAAATGTGTGAGAAAAATATTACTAGAGAGTCTCTCGAGATGAAACGTGTTTAATTTTCTCGGAGATTAATTAAAAATTTGCGATGAAATCATCGACATTAAGTATAAAACAGTCTCATCAAATGCGAAATACACAACTACCTGCTGGCGTCGTCATCCTTTATTTGCTCGCCGACAGCAGCCGGGGCCTCCTCGGGTACCTGACTCTCTTCCGTCTCAGCTGGCAGCGGAGGAGCCTCGCCCTCGCCGGCTCCAGCGCCGCGGCTTAATCCGGGTATACCGCCGCTCAACCATCCGGACATTTGATTCTTTACCCCGGCGAACATCTCCAATTTATTGCCCTTCGGACTGTAAACAAGAAAAGGATTTTGTTTTTTTAATCTAAACTGTAAACACGAAAAAGGATGTTGTTTTTTTTAATCTAAAATTTAAATTAAAATTGCGAGTAAGAGGAATTTCGCGACTTTGATGGAAAATTCGGATATAAAAAAAGATAGTAAGAGTCAAGTGACAAAATATTTACAGCTATGTGTGAACCTGACACCCGAATTTTAGAAAATTAATTTTTTAATACGAAAAATGATCAACAGTGAACTTTGTTATTTTTAAAGATTTTCAAATATGCTTTTTCCAGATGATGATTCAGACTCGTTTGCAATTTTTTGTAGTAATTTTGCTTTCGTTTGTAGTTGCACGCTTTAGAAATTTCAATTGTTTAAACAATTTCTAAACCATGCAACTACAAACAAAAGGAAAATCACTAGAAACAACTACAAACGATTTTAAAAGTTGCGCAAGCAGATTTGCGGTATTTTAAAAATTGACAAAGTTAGCTCTTGTACGTATAAACAATTATTTATAACTATTGAACGGTTCAACTACAAACAATTTTAAAAAAGACTGCGCAAGCGAATTTGAGATATTTCAATGTTGGCTGCAAGTCAGTTTTTTATTTTTTTAATTGATGAAACTACAAACAAAATTATTGTTACTACAAACAAATGTTATCATTTTCCGTATTAAAAAATTAAAAAAAATTAATTCTTTTAAAGTTGAATGCCTGGTTCACATAGCTGTTTTCGAACAAAAATTTGACAAAATCATTATAATAATTTTTACAAAATATAGAGGAATTTAAAAATAATTTTGTTGCATCTAACATCTGTGTCTATAGGCTCTTATTAGTTCCTTTTTATATTTGAATTTGTATTTAGCCATCAAAGTCTTTAGGACCTATTATTTTGTAATGGGAAATATGCATGTCTCCTTATTCACCTTCGAATATTTAAACAGAAAATTGAGACCTTTAAAAGGGATTAGAGACAATGAAATGTTACGAGCGAATTATTCACATACATATACTCGGTAACAAATGCCCAGATGATTAATTAAACGATGCACGACGATAGTGCAACTCTCTTTGTAATAATGTAAACAATGGAAACGCACCGAGTAAACGCAGCTCGATTATAACAACATTTTTCCCGTTTATAGATGTTGTAAAATGTATATACACATTGAAACAGAGAGAAATGTGTGTGAATATCGTCGATAAGTCATCACACACTATGCAAAATCGATCGATCAATTCGATTAATGCAAAGAAAACGGATTAAAGTGTTTTAGCTCAGATAGAATTTACGGATACGAAATCCTTTTAATCGCTTTTCCAAATTCGGGGAAGAGTGTAAAAAGTTCGCCTCGTTTAAAAACTTTCTTACTCGGCCAAAAATTTAACGTCCCGCCGGAGAGATTTATATACCATCGCGTTATAACAAAGCGACTAATTATCAGATAAAGAAGACTTGCTGTAATGCTGCATACAAAATTCTCAACTGTACTAATTACGTTTATGTGAATTTCCGGAATATACAAGATTTAGAATTCAGAAACGCATTATACGAGACACGAGTAATAACATCGTACAAAATCCGTCTATATAATAATATATAAATATATAATAAATATTAAAAAATATATGCTAAATATAATTAAATAAAATATATCTGTATAAATATATAAATATTAATAAATATACAGGGTGTCACTTAACTGGCACCCAATATTTATATAGCGATATTCCTCGTGGAAAACTGAGTCGAAAAGTCTTGTACCATTTTTTTCTGTAAGGCATAATAAAGTAGTGATTATGCCTTACAGAAAAAAATGGTATAGGACTTTTCGGCTCAGTTTTTCACGAGGAATATCGTTATATGTATAAATATTGGGCGCCAATTAATTGACACCCTGTATAATAAATATAATATAAAATAAATCTAAAAATCTACAATACAATATTAAATAACAAATATAATATATAAATTAAATATAAAAATGTAAATTAAATATATAATAATGAACGATTTAATAGATACATATATATTATAAATTTTTTTTGAAGAAATTATAGTAATAAAGTGTATATAAAAAAGCATAATAATAAATATAAAAATTATATACTTGTAATTACAAGTTGAGATTGAATTTTCATTGCAAATGAGATTCGATAATGTCGCGTACAAACGAAGGACGATCATTACCGAGGTATGCACGGTCGCGGTTTCCATTTCGTGAATTCCATAGTATATTCGCCAGGTGGACATTGGTCGAACACGCGTAGATTGATTTTCGCATAAATGCAACGCGGCTCGCTTTGTATTGACATTTGACGCGCCGCGCCGCGACTACGTCGCGCGACGCACGCGTCATTTCGCGGTAAACATAGGATCGAAATGCGCGTATACCTCATGGTACGTTGCGGTATTATTGAAATCGGTATGGGTATATATAAACATTTATTATTGCGTATTTGAAAGATACACGTGTAACACGTCACATACGATTGCTTAAGAAATTACACTCTATTTAAGTTAATAACTCGTATTTTAAAAAGTGAGAGAATTTTAAAGAATTCTCTTGATAAAATAGAGAATTTTATTTATAAAGTCACATTTCTTTTCAATGGTGATAATGAAAAAATATATAAAAATATATATATATTAAAAAAAAAACACGATTAGCATAAAAAATTAAAATAAAAATATATTTCATTTTAAATCAGAAACATGTACTTGTGTGCGTCTTGTTTCTATAAATAAAATGCTAACAAATAAAAAATAAGGATTTGTTAGTATTTTATATATGTGAAATTTTTCAACCATTGTATGTTATAAAAATGAAAAAAATATCGCTTAAAAAACGTGAAAAAAGAGAATTTTATAGAATGTAAAAATAGACAATTTTATTATATTTCGAAGTCATATTTTTTTTCAATATTATAAAAATAATATATGTATAATATATGTATATTATATACTATGTATGTATATTGAAAAGCATACGATTAGCAAATAAGATTAAAATAGATATAACTAATTTAAAATAAAAATAATGAATAAAGATATGCTTTGTGTCTTGTTTCTATAAATAAAATGCTAAGAAATAAAAAATAAGTATTTCTTGTGAAATTTTTCACAATTCTTGTACGATATAAATGTATATAAAATATAGATATAATTTTGCTAAACAAGTATAGTGCGAAATATAAAACACCATCAGTAAAATAATGATTTTATAAATTAAAGGGAGAGAAACACGTATAAACACATATATAGATTGATCAAATATATCAAATCACACATCTGCAACAACGTATCAATATGCGTTAACGCATATTACACCGCGTATTATATGCTTTCAAATATATTTTGTCTCAAACGATGAAATTAACTGCACATATATGCGCCTAAGAAAATTTACTATCACATCACAGCATCGTGCAAATATATTACCGACATAAAAATGCATCATAATTATTCTGTATGATCGTAAAAGTGTTTAAAGTTAGATAAGACGTCTAACATCGATAATATGTATATATATATATATATATATATATATATATATATATATATATATATATATATATATTACATCGGTGTGTTCCAAGATTATTACGTGTACGAGAAACTGCGTTTGTTTTTTAAATATATTAAATGTACATGTTTTTTAACATATTTATTATTGCGACTTCCATTGAAACGATCTCAAACGCGTCGTGTTAGATAAGATACGAGAACAGTTTGATGCTTTTAAAGCGATTGCATTTATGCGTCTAACAAGATAAAATAATTATTAATTTTTTATTATGCGAAAAGATAAGCAAGAAAGGGAAAAGCTTGAAAAAACAATCGGAATTATACGCAGAATCGCGAGTAAATCCGGCGTCGATTCGCGGGTCGCGCTACTCTTTACGTAAGTCGCGGGCGTTATTGATCTAATCTCGAAAATGAATCCGTGACGGAGGTTGTGCCGCTTTTAAACTGTGATTGAAACAAAAAAAATTACATGCGCAAAAAATTACATCGAGAAAAAAGAAAGAAAAATTCCGAATAAATCAAGCGCGACGCGAATTTTTTTTTTCGTAAATGTTATATAAAATTTGATTTTATCGAAATCGAAAATTTCGAAAATTTACCAATATTAATGACTATTAATAATTTATTGGTGTAATAATTAAAGAATATGACAGTCGTCGAGTCAAGAATTATAGAAATTGTCATTTTGTCAAAAGACATATATCTTGTTTCGATTTTTCGTGTCTGAAAGGGAAGAGATTTCAGATCCTGTCTTATTCGACGAGAGGATAAACGAGATTTGCATTCAGTTATCGAAACGAAGAAGAGCTGTCAGCTGTCACGCGCAGACAGACAGGTCAACGGACCTGAGCGTAAGCAGACGAACCTGGTTCTCTTCTCCTCCTGCTCCACGATATCGTTTAGGTTATGACAGATAACGAGCTGACGTACCTAGTGTTGTTCTTTTTCTCGAGATCTGCGGCGCTTTCGACTTCCGGGGAGGCGACCTTCTGCTCGCCTGGCACCTCGCTGCCGTTCTCAGGCTTCTTCCCTATCCAATTGGACACCTGATTCGTCAGGCCGGAAAACATCTTGCGACGACGAGCTCGCTTCTAGTTTGTACTCAACTGAGAACCGACGCGTCTCTCTCGCTCGAGGATCTACTCGACTCGGAGTATCGAACGCGAATGTCACGAAGGAAGTCCTCGCGGGGACTGCTCCAGAGTGCGGTAGCTCTATGGATGCGACGTTATTTATTCCGTCCGTTCTCGCGACAGCGCGACCACGAACTACTGCGTAAGTCGCACGTGCATGCGCGCAACTCACACGGCGCACCGTCAGACGGCGGCGAGACGGTGGCGCCACGTGGCCTTGCGCGGCCGCTCGGCGAACTAAAGCCCGCGGATCATCGATCGCGCGACGCGCGCCGCCGACTCCTCTTTTTTTCGGGGCATAAGTTACATTTTACGTATCGATGAGAGAAATAATAATAATAATAATGCGTCGATTTTTTTAGATTACTCGGATTCTTCGAATAAATGATTTCTCTTTTCTTTTTTTAGCAGATATCAGATGCGCACTGAGATCGAAGTAGATTTGTTCTCTGCTAAAAAATCTGTAATAAAAAAAGCTTATTGTCAATAAAATTGTGAAAAAAGTATTAATAGAAAATCTGTATTCAATAATATATGTAAATAATTTTGTCAATTAAAATCTAATGATATTTTTATGAATACATAGTAGAAATATAATTGACGTTAGGGAATATTCTTTCTTGAGAAATAATATATATATATATATATATATATATATATTTAGATAATTATATATATGTATACAGAATGTTTCAAAATTAAATAATTAAATTTTGCCAATACACTTTATGTATAAAAACAAAAAAAAATGTGGTTAAAAAATTGTTTTATTAAAAAGTTTTAATGAAAATATTAAACACATACCATCGAGACAATATAAACTCACTATTGTCCCGAGAAGAAAAGTCCATATATATCTAATTATCCTAGCTATATTTTTATTGCAATTTAATATTGTATGTGGAAAACTGTAAAAGAGCAAAAATACATCACATAAGATTAAATTTGCGATAAAAATACATAGAGAAGATCAGTTTGACATTCATTGTTAATGTTCAAACAAAAGAAATATAAAATTCATAAAACAATAAATTTAAATCTCTCATAGTAATATCAAATTTCTATTAAAAGCAAAAGATATAATATTTTGCGAAGTAGAAAACTACAAATGTATTTCCTTTTTTTAAATGACATATGTAAATAAAATCCTATATATCAATTATATGTTTAATTTTTACAAATCAATGTTTATATATTTTTTGTTTCTACTCATATAGAATACACTGGCAAAGTAATCATTTAAAAAAATTGGGACGTTCTGTATATATTTCTCCTATATAGCATGTCTTGATATATGATAAAAATAAATTATTTATTTCTCTTAACAGAAAAATATATAAATGTAAATATACATGAATAAAATGTGTTTCAATTTTTTTATAACGACAATCTTTAAAGGCATCTTTAAAATTTTGAAATCAATATTTTTTGTTAAAATAAATGAATTTGAATTTAATATGTAATTAATAACAATAATGCAATACTTATACTTTGATTTATAAGACAAGATTAAGAGATAATTTTGATATAAAACAGGTCATAAATTATCAATATATTCACATACACATATATATGTATATGTGTATCAATAATTTATGACTTATCTTATGCCAAAATTATCCCTTAATATTAATTTTATATATATCTATATATATAATACAATCAATATTAAAAGATTATATATATATATATATATATATATATATATATATATATATATATATAATTAGCAATAAACGTATTTTGATTCAAGTTTTATAAAAACTTAAAATAATTAATAACACAAATTTTTACCAACTTAAAAGTTATTGTGCCTGGTGTAATCTTTATTGTATCCATGACGAGATTGTCAGCACGGAAATATGATAAAACCCATTAATCAAACAGAATGTCTACTTTGATCACCCAGGTGAAATATTTATATGCTCAACACGGAGAGGACATGAACAGATGTTAACGCGCGGATATTAAAACACGATATCAAGCGTACCACTTTTTTACGCCTTAAAAGCAAAGTGTGATAATAAAAAGAAAGTGTCATGTTTAACTTTGCTGTGCGATTATACTACACATTTCACAACATGATATTAAAAATAATTCGTAATTTATTTGATCAGAGCGAGGCAGTTACAACAATAATATGAGATACACATTTGTATGTACATTCGTCCATTCTCCTCTAAACGTCGATATGTCGTGCGGAAGCATCGTTACGTCACGAGGTAGAACGCACGTGGTTGCGTGACGTATGTATGTATAATCGATGAGAGATCAATAATATGTACGATGTAGTTGAATTTGTAATGTCCGTTACTTGTGTGACTTAGTAAGAGTCTCAACCGCGATTATAATTAATCTAATCGTACAATATTGATTTATTACGTCAACGTTAACGATCAAACACCATGCGTCATACGTATGTATCACAGTTTGGCACCCAAGAAACATAATCGACATTGGAACTCTACATTTCTTTCGACTCATTTTACGCGAAATATCGCGAAAATGCTTAAAAATATCTCCTCAATTATGATACCAATTAGACGTCAATCAGATGTCACATTGTTATTTCATCGATCGACTTAAACTTTTAGAATAATTGTCTTTTTCTGTTATTTCAGGCGATATTAGTCCTATTTAGGAATATATGTCTATAATGCCCGATCGCTGACAGATCTATTTTTTTTAAACGCAATTATATATTATATATACGATTTTAAAAAGAATTTAATTATAACTTGATGATTACCTTTCTATTTTCTCGTTCGTTCATTAAGATATATTGGTCAGATACTAGACGTCACTGGACTTTCAGTCCCGGGCTGGGTACATGATAACATGAATGAATATTTTATGAAACGCGAAGTAGTGAAGAGAATTAAATATATATTCTTATTTTCGTCCCCTAGGAATGTATATCTAATACAGTTATCATCAGTGAGTTGCGTCTGATGGAGTTGCTTTTTCTAGAGGTGCCTGTTGGTACTGATACCTGAAACAAATATTGATTCGATAAACTCTCGGAGTAAAAAGCAGTAGACAATAGAGACATTATATTCTTCAATATCAAACAATATAAAAAAATAATGCAATAAGCCGTGCGCAAAGAAATAAAACGGAGAAACAAAAAAGGCTGACAGACTCGGTTACTCAACTGATAATCTGGCAGCGTTAAAACATAAAAACGCACATAAAGATAACGGATATCTCGTTTTTACGTACATAAGACTTATTAGAAGATAAAAATAAAGCATATTTAAAAAAATGATGCTTGAAAAAACAGTGCTTATATGTATACAATTTTCGAAACAAAAATTTTCAAGATGCGAATTTATTTAAACAGAATTTATGAAGATTGTAAAACGCGATTTTTTAAAAAAGAAACATGTAAAACATATTCACCTCAAGGCTCTCGATATTTGATATAAAGCCGTAAACGCGACGAAGAGATTTACGCTAAAGAGGCTCCAATTTCTCGGGGTGATGACCAAGGAATATCTGGTCCAAATCACTCCCGTAATACCCAGAGCACCAGATTGGCTAAGGGAGATCTTCTCCACCGGCCTTTGCAGATCACCGAGACCGGCGATTACGAGCCCCTGAAATTGCGAAAAAAGTGATTTACATATATACAATATTTTTTGATCGTTGTATTTTTTTATTAAATTTTTTTATTTTGCATTTTATTATTATTGCATTTTTTATTTAAAAATAAAATACATTGTGTTAAAAAAGGCGAATCTTAAACATTTTATGATTTAGTTATAATTTAACTGTAAATTTTTGTTTGAATATTATTTATTTTTTCATATATAAAAATTATGGAAAGTGTACAATATATAAATAAAGAATTATTCTTTCTGCAAAGTCGATATTTATAGATATCAATAATAACGAGATCGAATAAACTGTATATGTTCTGCGGTTGATATGTCACGAATTTTATATTTATATTACTTTTAATTTAACGCGACATTATGAAATGTCATTCGCAGTTGAAATAAAATCGATTTCAACGAAATGCATGTATATAATCATTATATATACATGTATATATATATATATATATATATATACACATATATTGATATACATATATATATATATATATATATAAATGTATATATTATTATAACATACACATATAATATATTATTATTATATACGTTATATATATATATATATATTACTTATTATTTTACATATTATTTTTACATGTATATATATATATATATATTAATCATTGCTATAAAATTATACATACAAACTGCAAGAGAAATCTATATTATACGAATGCAGTATTTAGAGTATTTCTGGTACACGCGTCTATACATATTTGCCAACATGACATTACGCAATTGCCTTGGAGCAAAATTGGTTTGTATATTAGTTGTTATATGCATGCATATCATTATTCAATCGTACAGCAGTCTTTGTACAATACTTTTTTAAAAATCGGTTAAATAAGAGAGTAAACTCATATGAAAATGGAAACATTTTTAAATATAGAATTGAAAATTAATTAATTATTATATTATACAACTTATATAACAATTTATATTTATATATAACAAGCTCCAATATCTTTGCAGCTGAACATTTTTGATTTTTATTAATTTATTTATAAATTAATTTAATATTTAATTTATGAAATTATATATCAGTTAATATAAGATTAATGTATTAAAAAATAAAAATGTGTTACTAACCCATTTGAAAGCTGGTGCCCAGAAGAAAATGGTTTGTGGACCTAAAAAAAAGATCATGGTAATTAATATATAAATTACAGAGAATATATCGTGACATTCCTATGTGTGATCTATTGTGTATTACAGTCATAACATGTTTTTCTCTCCATTATCTTTCGTGTAATTCTTTAAAGATACTCGAGACATTTCGTAAACGCAATAATTTTAACTCAAAGTAAAAGATAAAAAATACAAAAATATACATATATTTATATAATATACGCATATATCGCTCATTTGTTACAAATAATAACTCAAAAATTTTTCATTTTTGAAATATTGTTGCAGCAAATGAGCGATATATAAAATACATATTTTATTTGTATATATAAATATTATATTATAAAATATATATAATTCATAATTAATATTCGAATAAACGGTCAATGTTCCACCGCAGACAAATATGAGAATCAAGGGCGATAACACGTGCTTCGATATGACCTTATTCGCTCCATTTATTCGAGCTTCCGCTCTAATAGCGCAAGCAAATTCGTTTGAAAATAGCTTTAGCGAAGCTCAACGGCTTTGCTTCCATTCATGTTGTAATTCGGTAAAGATGTGCCCATTTTGGCGCCAGCCATGTAAATCTAGCGTTGGTGGAAAATAGGACAATAAAATACCAAATGTAAAATGCATATATATCAGATCACGTAAATTTACATCGTATATCTCTACATGAAATTTTAAAATATGAGATAAATGCAATTTTTTTTTTTCAAATTTTTAATCTAATCTATTTCTATGTATATCAATATAAAATTTATGTATCTTTTTTCATAAATAATATATTCAATATTATTCTTCTATCAATTGTTTTATATATAATATTTTTATTTAATGTTTTTATCTGTTTTAGCTATTTAATAATTTTATTTTTATCTGCATGAAAACTAAAATCTCCAGATAATATATAGCGGAATCGATAAAGTTCGCAATAGAACAAAATGTGACCTTGAATGATAAAAAAAGGACAAATCGCGCGATGTAGTATTTTAATGCGGAATACACAGAAAGATACGCGAGACCTAATTTAAGAACGGGACGACCTTGAAAAAAAAACAACTGTACGAAACGCGTGTCACCGTAATAGCTTACGCAACTCTTACGAGATATTATAACGATAAGAGATAATAAAAGATGCGGAAGCAACTTCATGTTGATCGTGAAAAGATAGTCGTTGCAAGATAAAATCGCGATTAAAAGCGGAGCAATTATTTCTGCGCGCGTTGTACTATTTCGTGAACAAAATAATAAAAATAATACATTACATCAAAATACAACGATTTAAAAGATGTACAAATATAAATGTACAGAGATAGAGATAAAATATACAGAATGAACGCGATTTAAATGTCTAATCTCAGAGCAAAAAATATGATTTATTAGAAAAAACACCCACGTCATTCGCGCCATTTTCCTCCTTTCTTTCCCTCCCTATCTCTCTCTTTCTCTCTCTCTCTCTATGTATTTAATTATTTATTATCTCCGTACATTTCACTCGCACAAACGCATTTACACGTGGAACCTGTTCATTATCAGACGATCGATCACTTATTTACTAACCAGCTGGATGTTTCCACAGAGGCTGCAGTCCTTGGGGCACGAACTTGCCGATGGCATTCATCGAATTCCTGTAGGCGATCGACATGGCTTCCTAGTGGCGGCTCGTCCTCGTCGACTCGACTGTGTACAAAAGATCGATGAACTTTCCGCGCAGAAAACTAGGACGAATCGCGGTAAACGCGCCCTCGAACAGGTACAGCGACTGGGCAGATGACGATGAAGGTCCGCGCGCTGCGACCGAAAGGCGCAAAGTGTGTCGATTGGTCGCTATGACGCTCGCGCGATCTGTCACTGCTGCCCCTCCCCCCCTTTCCTGCAGCCAACTTCACTGCGGACACAACTCCCTCCCGTCACCGCGAGGTGGAATGCGCTTGTATGTGTACGCGCCAAAATTTGAAATATTTTGTTGTCTAGTTACTACGAATAATAAAATTAAACGTGATGTATGGCTGAAACTAAAAGTGGGACAAGGATCTCCGAAAATCGCCACACTTGCGATTAAAAATATAAATAAGATCGATGAAATTAAAAATTTTGAACATTTTTTTATTAATTATTATATTATTATTTCTATAAATTAGTTCTATCAATTTAAAGTGCTTTTTTTTTTTACTAAATTTTGAAGTGTCTATGTAATTATCGTTTGGAAAAGAAAAAGAACATCTTGAAATTCGGTCTTAAAAAATTGAAATGAAATAATAGCGTTTATATTATCAGAAATGATAAGACTTCTAATTTGTTATGATATAATTAGAAAATAATCTGTTCAGTTGACGAGTTGACAAAATGACATGATAATGCAGAAAATCAGTAAACTTTTCAATTATCGCGAACAAGATATTAGACTCATTTTTATATACTGGGTGTCCTAAAATATCATGTGAATATCCTTTTAAATAAAAATAAATTAAAATTCTGATATTTATAATATTATATGCTAACTGAATATCTTTGGTAATTATTTACATTATTAGACATATACTTTTTAATCATGATAAATATTGAACTTGTTAGTTGAAGATATTAATCAACATTTGTTTGTCTTAATCAACGTATAATCTGATATAATTTTTGAAATATTTTTATATGTATATCTCAAAAACTATATGAAAAAATATCGATTAAGATATAATGAAATATTATAAATAATAATTCTCTACAATATATATTAAAGTCGGTTATCGAATGTCTCCGTTTATCATTGCCATATCATTTTTATTTATATTATTTAAATAAATAAAGAATTTAACAAAACAGTTGATGTTGATTTTCGTATAATTAAAAAAAATGTTTTATATAAAAACTTATTCTGTTTAGTTTTTCTATATCGTTCATTGGCTTAATCCGTATCTATATAAAGTTAAAGATGTAAATTTCTTTTTAAATTACACGTTATACACGTAAATACCACTTGACATTAGAATCTTTGTGTGATGTAAAATTAGATTTATAGCAAGTTTATCTTCTTTATCTTATAAATCGTGTTAGAAACTTGCTGAAGAAACAAGCGAAATAATTTATCACGAAAATGTAAGTATAATTTTAGAATAAATATTAAAAATTGTAGGTATATTTTTAATCTTATCCTTTTAACATTTGTAGTGAATTATTGAACTGTACAATAATGACCTCAAATATGACATTTGGATAATCTTTTATTAGATATATATTTTTATGTAAAAATAAAATTTTCAATTTTTTTAATTTGATGAAAAGTTTATAATTTTGTAAAATTATGTGTGTCACGTTCATGTGTTCATTAATCTTATCTATAGTTGTGAGGTCGATTTTCGTCCCACTTTTAGTTTAATGTAATTTTAATTGTAAAATTCTCTCACATTAATTTATTTTTAAAAAATTGATTTAAAAAAACAAAATAAAAAATAAAAAATTTTAATTTTTGTAGATAAGTCTACTGCTAGATAAATAAAACAATAGATAACATGTCTCGAAATTTTCACATTTGAAAGGCATAAACACAATAAAACAAATTTTCATCAAAAGATATAAAAAAACATAAGTGATATTTACCATCCTTGAGAATCCTATAAATATAGTTGATGTTATATGTATATATTAAATGTGTTATGTGTGAACTAGAGATACTTGAAGAAGGTGATCTTGCAAAAGACCTTGCTCTTGCTGACATTGGCCGGGAGTCCCGAATGGGATACTCGGATGTTCGCCAAATCGTCTCTTACGACTGTTAAATTTTCTATTAATAAAACCAAGGTATTTGTTCCGCATTGGTAATAGTAATGTTTGGAGAAGTATGATCATAGGTCTGAAAAATATCTATAAGAAATGTGTTTTACATATCATATATGAACAGAGGAAATAAGGGATTTAAATATAAGAGACACAAATATGACGCTAATAAACAGGAAAATAAGAAAGGATTTAAATTACATATAATTAAAGTTTTGACTATAGAAGTTGCCAGTAATTAGTTTGTGGATTGTATATCCTATAATAAAATTAAACTAAAAGAACAATTTTAATAATTAATCATTCTTTTTATGATTTAGTATTTATACATATATGTATACAATGTTTTTTAAATTCGTTTTTTTGGACAATATAAATACAAGCAACTGGCAATCTTTTTATATATCAAAAGTTTAAAATAGCTTAAAATATCCTGTATGCATTAGAAAAAAAACACATTATATATTAGAAGCATTATGTATTACAATTTACATTATTTATATATTGAGATGTTTTCGTAATAATAATTAAAATATACAATACAAAGTGATTGTAAATAACATACAAATAAAATATTTCAAAAAAATGAGCACAGGATTAAAATATAAAATATCTAATTAATCAGTAGTCAGTTTTTTTCTGAGCAACTAGCTTGGCTTATGCTTGCAATATATTATAAATAAATACATTAAGTTTCGAATAATACATATAAATGTTTCTTATCGAAATATAAATATTTTTTTATGTGTACGATAAAAATATATATAAGATCGTGCAATATATTCTATGTGATAACTTAATATATTAATAGATAGAAAGATTAAGAAATGCAAGCATATTATATTTTGTAGCATTGATAGAAAGGAAAAAAACTAACAAACTGAGATATAAAAAAAGGATAAAAGATCTATTAAAAATTAATGAATATTAATGACGAAGAATTTACCTAACTTATGAAATGTTGTATTTAAGTCTGATAAAACTTTTCCAATTCTTATGTTTCAAATATTAAAATAAATACAATCTAATACAATTAGATAGGAAAAGTTTCAATCACAATATAATTTCATAAGGGTAGCAATATAATTACATCATAGATGTATATCTTTAAAGGTATCTTTAAAGATATACTATATCTTACATATTTCTATATATAAGGCACATGAATTACATATAATAAAAGTTTAAATTTTTATTATATGTATAAAATTTATGATTTTATATATATATATATATATATATATATATATATAAAATTAAAATATATATTATAATTATAATAGAAATTTATTATAATTTGCATATATAATTAATATATACATTATAATATAAAAAAAATTATAATTATAATATTATGTGTATCATTTAGTATTAATGGCATTAAATATATACATATGTGCATATGTAATGGCATTAATTATCATATACACATTTTAACTATTTGACTGAATAGATCATCAGTGAAATTCATGACATGAGCTGTCACATTTATCAGTCTTATGTTCATTAAATTTTTAATATATCACTAGTACAAAAAGCAATATTTGAAATCCGTAGTATAAAAGATACTATTGTCGTAAATGCATTATCCATTCTAAAGAACTCTCTAAAATACTTTCAAAAATGATATAGCATTTATCAAAAATTAGCAAATGTATATACATATTTGGCAGTTTAATATATTTATCAATGATAGTATATTTGTCAATGGCACAAATATTTTAATCAAAAACTATTTTATTGTAATATAGCACTTATTAGACTATAGAGAGCGAGAAAAAGCTTCATTGTAAAAAAAGCACATTTAATAATTTATTAAATATAGTTTTACTATATAAATAGTAAATTTCTGCTAATTTTATGATAAATGCAAGTAGCAGCAACGTGATACTGTAGTACGAAATATATATATATATATTTACATATACTTATTTCGTTGTATGTAAATTTGAGCATATATAATAAGCAATAAAATACAGTATTACGATACATGTGTACATTTCTTCGTTATAAACATTTTAGATACATGTATTAATTTGTGTATCTTATTGTATCTTATTGTAATCTATATTACATTATACATTAAATTTTTTTTTTAATTTTTCGTATAACAATATCACATATTTTAAATTGCAATAACGAATACAAATGCATCGAAAACTGTACTTTTTTGTTCATATTTATGTACATCTTGTTGTTATTATTATCACATATAATTGCATATTTGCAATATTGCATTTTAAATTAATTCATCTCTATATCTCTAAAGTATTGTAATCAATGAGTTTAAATGTATTGATAGATCCATACATGTCAACTGTGACAAATTTAGTAAAATCTGTAGAAACGTGTAGCTTTGTATTCGGATTTGGTGGCAATTCGATAACTGCTAATAATTCTGGTACTTCAGGATCCCTACCTATCTTATTTGTCCAATATTTACTCACGGTATTGGCAGTGTTATCTGTATCCAATGCATCGTTGATTTGTAAACTGGATACACTGGTATCTAAGCTTTGGCTGTTAGGTATTCGTGTGTCCCTGTTAAATGCATTTTGACCAAATGAAGGAGTACTCATACTGTGTTTAATGCCCATTCGACTTCTTCTTGTATTCTTATTCTTTATTAAAGCAATGTTCCACCAAGCTAATTCATTATTTGTCACAGAGAGTAAAATTGGTACATCTATGGAAGTTGGAGCCCAAAACAATTGTGTAATGGGATCTTTATGGAAAGATAGTTGAACGATCTCTCTTTGCTTTTGAATGTCGAAAATCTAAAAAGAAAACAAAAGGATTAAATATTAATAAATTCAATATAAAATTATATAAATCATATATAATAATAATTATTATTATATTATATAATACATAAATTAAATATATATATATATAAATAAATATTAATATTATATACTACATCTAAAACTAAAAGACTTACAAAAATTTGTCCTTTTTCAATTCCTACGGCAATATATTGCTCATTTTGCGAAATATCACAGCAAATTGTGTTCGATGCAAACGTATAATTAAAATAAGGCTCTTCATTTATTTCCTTGGTACTTGGCGATACTTTTATATTTTCGTTCAAATAATATAAAACTAGCTGACATGATTCATTTAAGACCGCTAAGTAAAATTTATTGTGGCTTAAACAACTAAATGTAACATCTGAAGGCGGATTGAACGAAAGTTGACTTATTATTTGCCAAGTTGCTCTTCGCTCTTCACATAAATTAGGAATGTAAATCGTTCTTATACTATTTTGCATTATTATTGCCACATAATCGTTATACAATTTATGAATATTGATTACGTGTACAGAAATATTGCTTTCGTATATCTGTTTACAACATCGCCACATCTATTTGGAGAATAAAAATTAATTAAATATTTAGAATATTTTTAGTGTTTAAAATTTAGGAATTTAATAATACATACCGTTAAAATACCATTGCATTCACAAACTATTATATTACAGTTGTAAATATTTATAATCTTCAAAAATATATTTGGTACTTCCAGTTTTAAAATAAGATTGGATGTACTGGTTGTTATGTCATATAACATAAGATTGTTTTTTTCAGTAAGATATACAATTTCCTTCTCATCAGGGGAAAGTTGCAATCTTAATATTTTTTCTATAGATTCAGGTTCAGCTATTGCTTCATTTCCATGTAATACTATTATTTTTTTCAGATGGGTCCCTTTAACTAATATATATGTGTCTTCTGTTTCATAGGGCTTCACTGCCGCATCAAATAAACATTCCCTAGTTTAACAAAAAAAAAAAACAATGCTATAAGATCTAATTAACTTTGACTATAAAGTTAAAAAATTAAATATATATATATATATATATATATATATATATATATATATATATTTATGTGTGTGTATGTGTGTGTGTGTAGTTAATATATAATTAAGTTAAAAAATTAAGTATAAATATATAATATATTATATATATATAATTTTTTAATTTAATTAAACTACCTTAACATTTTATTCGATTGTGTTCGAAATTTCCATTTGTAAAATAATTTATTTCCATTTCCGCATATCTGGGAAAAAAGAAATTATTAAACATTTCGAATAGTCTTAAATTGAGTTAAATAAATTAGAAAGAAAATTATAATTAAATGATAATTAAAATAAAATAAATAGTACGTACAATATGACAGCCTTCTTCTTCCAAGCAATAAGTATCTAAGGATGTGACGCGACATTTGTAAATAGCAATAATTGGCTCTCCTACAGAAGTTTGCCATACATTTATGAAACCAGCAGAGTCAGCCACAATCATATATTCACCATCGTAAGTTATAGTTGCACAAACATAAGTTACAGGACTGTTATTTTTGATGAACATCTTTCTCTGTTTACAGTATTTATGCACAGTATCTCCATACCACACTCTCACACATATAGCTTGCTTTTCAGTGACAATTATTAACGAGTTATCTTTCCTTGGTATATGATGAAAGAATATGACTTTCTTGTCATTCTTTAACTGTAGATTGTAACAGGCACGATATCGATATTCAGTGTAATTGGCATTACAAGAGTATACAGAAAAAGTCATCCTTGATTCGTCTATTACATGTAATAATAAAGCTTCATCCGTAAATGCAATTTTTGTTATGCTATCCCTATAACACAAATGTACGTTATATATTAATTATACTTATACACATAAACACATCATCGTTTACATATACAATTGTACTTACAACATGGAATCTTTTTCTATGGTACACACAAGTTCCCCCTTTCGATTCCACATCTAAAAAAACACACAAAATGTCACAAATAGAGAAACATAAATAATATATTTTATATATAATTATTTTATTTTATATATTGCTATATTTCATATATATTAAAATTTTTCTAAAAAAATATATTACAGTAAAATGTAAAAAAATACTTTATTTCGTAAAAGAATCGTGTGTAAAAGATTGAAATATTTTAGTCACAATATCATAACATAAATAAATAACAAGTACCTGAATGGTTTTATTACTGCACGCAGCAATATACTGGTCGTTGTATCCAAATGCCATATCTAATATAATTTCGTTTCTAATGGAGAATTCTACTGCACTATCGTCTAAATTATTGTGCCTAAACATGATAGACCAGGAAGGTTGTCTCTGTCGTGGACTTTCCATATGCATATCACTGTGATCATTGATTTCAAGTGCATCGCCCAACCAGAGATCAAATAGCTTTATTATACCAGCACTGCTCAATGATAAGAAGCAATCACCATTCATAGATACAATGAGTTTTTTAATTGAATCTTTTTCATCATGGCCATTGAAAACTTTTTGCTGCATACTTTCGCAATTCCATAATATTATTTTGCCTGATGTGTTTCCAATCAAAATTAAATTAGAATCGTCTGTGAAAACTGACGTGCAGATGTTCGTTGGTGTTTCGTGAATTAACGATATATCCACGTATTCGCGAGTTTTATCATGAGATAAGTACAAGTGATTCGTTTGTTTTATAGCTAGTTGTTTGGCAGTTTGAGTAACGTAGTTTTGAGATGAATGATTCATTGCGATTTGAATTATATCCAAGCATTTTTTTCGTCTTTGTTCTAATATAATGCTTGCTTGTTCTTGAAGAAATCTTTCGATATCTGAGAGATGTGCCTCGTATTCGCTATTATAACGGTATGTAATATATTTTTTGTATTTTTTCAAATCCAACAGTAGATCTCTTAAACCTGAATGCATTATCTTAGCTTGTATAAAATTGAAGTCCAAATAAATTTTCGGAATTTCCTCAAATAATTTTGCTTCCTCCAAATGATGGCCAATATAGGAATAAATATAATTATCATCAGGCAATTTTGAAAAATCGTTATCACAATTTTCGCGATATTTCTCAATAAGAGCTTTATGCATCTCTATCAATTCATCTTGTGTTAGTTTTCTCTTGAGATGACATAGCAATAAGTCATGTATGCCATAAATATAACTGTTCAAGTCCTTATTCCATTTTTTGGCTACCAGTGATTTATGGCACAAGTCAAGCATCAGTTCGTCAACATAAAATATATCTTCTTCCCAGAAAATTGCTAGAGTCTAAAAAAAATAAAATTATTAGAATTGAGAAAGAAGAAAAATTGTAGTACATATTTTTTATGCTTGCGTTCAAAAATAATATATAATTTTGCTGTAAAAAACATATTTCCATTTAAAAAATCAAGAATCATCTTCAAATTTTTAAAGCACACTTAAAAATTTTATTTTATTCCTTTATTTTATGTCCTTAAAATTATGGAATTTTAATTTAATCCATATTTCTCTACCAACCACATTGATGTAAATTACGGTTGTATATAGTAAATTAATAATAAATTTTATAATTTATTATACCTTTGAAGTTATATTGACATCTTCATTAAAAATAGCTAGACTCTTATAATGGTCTTTCAATCTTGGTTTCAACTGGTATATACACATATCAAAAATAGTTTCTTGTTTTTTAAAGAATTCTCTTATTACTCTGTAACAATATAACAATATTATTTTATTGATTAATACATTATTTAATCGATAGACTATATAATAATAATCTTACTTATTTTTTCCATCCTTTTTTCTCAAGGAGTCTAGGTAATATCTCCATCTATTAGGTTGTAATCTCATATCGCATTTAAATTCTTCAAATTGCGCAGCAAACATGGCAATGAGTAATGGCATACCCTTACATTCTTCATGAATTTTTTTCGCTTCCACAGGCAGTTCATTCACATTAATTTCCAGCACTTTGGCAAATAAACCCAATGTCTCTGTTTCAGTAAATCCATCACTCATCTGAAATTATTGCATATTTTATTGTGAGATCAATTATGTATTTTAATACTATATAATAAAATTTAATACTATAATTTAATACTTCAATTTAATACTATATAATAAAATTGAATTTTAAAATTTAATATATTTTAAATCTATTTAATCAGAAAAATAATGAAAAATACTCTAGATTGTATATTATTACCTCTATTTTTTTAAATCTTTTTCCTTGTAGAATATTGATGTCGGCAGTGAGAACTAAAGTTTTACATTCAAAATCAAAAGCTTTAATAATATTTTTATTTGACACATCATCTAAAATTAGCAAAGCATTGCGATTATCTTGTTTTTCAAAATAACATTTAAAAAATCGGATCAAAGAATCTTTCTCCAATGGAAGGAACGAATCTGCTTGAATTTCAGAATTCTTCACATTATGATAAAGTGTGTTCAACTGAATTAATATTTCTTCATCAGTTGAACGATCACATGTGAATTTAATCCAGTATATTTGATTCTAAAATAAAAGAAAAAGAAAAAGAAAATTATTTGCATGCAAAATTTAATATAAATGTTGTAAGCTCAATAATTATAGAAAAGATCATACAGAAAAAAAATTTTTCACCAATCTTGTATCCTTAAGAGTATTGGCAGTTAGACATGATTTTCCAAATCCCTTCATGCCATGTAACACAATGTATTCTGAAGGTTTTAATTGTTTTAAAGCTGTCTTCAACTGTGCAACCTGTCAATACATACAATGTATTTATAAAAATATTGTAAATATATTGTATTAATAGTAAACTTTTATCTTAAAAATTAAAAAATTTATCATAGTATGTTAAATCAACAAATATACACACATACACACTTTTATTATATGATTATTATATTATTCTTATTATATGACTTATTATATATATTTTCTATATGATTTTATATATATATATATATATATATATATATATATATATATATATATACATACACACATACAGGGTGTTATAAAGGTACCGGAACAGCAGAATAACTTGAAAAATATGAATCGTAGAAAAAATGTTAAGTACTGGATTTTTATAATTTTTTCCCTGGCTATCTGACGTTCACAGATAACCAGGAAAAAATCATAAAAACCCAGTACTTAACATTTTTCTAGGACTCATATTTTTCGAGTTATTCTGCTGTTTCGGTATTTTTATAACACCCTGTATACATACATACATATATGTACATATATGTATATTTATTATATGACCTATTAAACATACTTTTACTATATGACGTATTATATACATACATATAATTTTATGACTTATATATTACTTTTATTATATGATTTATTGTATATTTTTATTATGACATATATATATGTGTGTGTGTGTGTGTGTGTAAAAGTAGTGAAATTGAGTAATTTTTTATAACTTACACAATTTCCATATGTATGCATGGAAAGAAACAATGAAACCAGATAAGAAAGAATTAAATAATGTACCTACTATAATAAATTATTTTTCTAATAACGCAGGATTAAATATATATTACATCTTTAACATTATAAAAAAAAAAAACTAATTTTTTATATTATATCTTTATATTTATAAAGATCCTTAAAAAATTTCATTATAAAGATTTTGTGATATACATTTTTCTTTGTATAATAATATGTAGTTACATATATTGTGTTACATATATTGAACGATATGCATTATTAATAAATAAAATGTCAAGTAATAATCATAATATCTCAAAATTCATAATTTTATCTTATCATTAGTATAACAAGCAAGATATAATGAGAATGATTCATACAATCTAATATCATATAGATATTATAACTAGTAGTTATACCTTTTCTTCTCTAGTAACCGTCAATGGAGAAAGGGCTGGCATGTTAAAAGATCCAGGGTAATAATCTATTTCTTCATTGTTTTCTATCTCATTATGTAACAAATTATCTATTTTGTCGCTAAGCCAGAAGTAGTGATGTTTTAAAGATTGATGAAAAACACCAAAAGCATATGGACCACATCTTAAAAATGTTAATACAAACACATAGTGATTACATTAAACTCTAATGTCTATCATTGTTAAAAATGCAAATTATGAAAGTGATTTTTGGATAATATGATTATTATTATTATTTATTAGTAAAAATAGGACAAAAATTTAAATACTGCATTAAAATAAAAACATACATTTCAGATTGTATAAAACATGTGCAAATACATAACAAGAAAATATAAACATACCTTGGAAGTATATCTAACAATTTTTCAGCTCTCTCTTCGTTACTAACTCCAGTATAAATAATCTGAATATCATCTGTTTTTAATATACCTTGAGATGTTAAAGGTTCTACAATATTGTTATCAATATTTAGATCATCGATTATATTTTTTCTCAAATGATGGAGAATTTTCTGATGAGAATGTTCCATCTTTATGATTAAAATGATTCTAATTATGATGCAAAAGCTTGCAGTTATCTTGTTCGGCCTTAATCTAAAATAAATAATCATAAATTATTTAATTGGTCGTTAATTTCAATTATATATAGTTTAGTTGTAAATAAATAATTATCTGTTCTTCATAAATTTCAGAAGATATAAAATCTAGCATTTAAAATAAATATAACTTGTAATTCTAATAATACAAAATTTAATTTTAACTTGATATTAATAAGTGCATAAATAACAATAAAATCTATTTTTCTATTTTGATTGAATATATACATACATTATATTTAAAGTATCACATAACACAGTGTAACTAATTATTGTAAGTATCAATATGTCATCTATAATGTTTATTATATGATCAATATAGAAATTGTTCCAGAATCTCATCATCTTTATCATCGTTTTTATATTTACATTTAGTTCTTCATAGTATATATAATCTTTTCACCTTTATTATAAATAAATAAATAAATAAATAAATAAATAAATAAATATACATATAAGTATAGAAAACTGTTTTAAATATCATATATTAGAAAATAAACTTACTCCTATTTGAATTATACATAATGATAATGGATAATAATAAAAAAACATTAATTTTTTGTCTAAAAATGTAATGTAAATTATATAATATTATTATGTAATCTTGTTGTTTTCGAGTTAAATATGGATATTTTGTTTCAAATGATGGAAAAATGTATCAAAAAAATTTTTGTTAAATAGTATTATAGTTAATAAGAATTTCGTTCTTATTATTATTATTAGAATTATATATAAAATATTCATATATGTTTATGTTTCTTTTCTTATATAATATAATTTCTGTCTGTATTCTGTATATACAGAAAAAATAAGAATAATTGAAAAATAATTAGAATAATGTTTGCATTGTTTCAGTTTGAAATTTGAAGACATGAGAAAAAATTACTCAAACATAAACATACATAAATTCAGGAGTATTTAATTTTGAAAATTTTCTTAGTTTTCAAAGGAAAAAAATTATAATAAATATAATACAAATAATTAAAATATCACTGACATTTAATGTTAAAAGTAGTATTAAAGTGTATTTTAAGAAATCTTATTTTGATTTCTTTTGAAGATTCAAGCTGATTTTCTTAAGCTAATTTTTAATCATTCATCATTTTATTTCTGATCATTTTTCGATTATACATTTTAGATAAATATAAATGTTACATTGTATTCAGCGACTTAGAAAACATTAAATTATATATTATATAATTTATAACATTAAATTATATATATTTAGTTAAAAAAAAGCTTTTTTTTAATCAAAAATTCTTTCTTTTTTTATATTTCTTTCTTTCTATATATAATTTTTTATGATTGCATCAGAGTTAAAAAAAAGGCTATCAGTGTGCTATAACTGCTATTTTAGATAACTGCGATCGTCCTAAAGATAATCCGAAATATTGCGCATATCAACGTTAATCAATAAAATTTAACAACTGATCTATAAGCGTTATATATATATATATTAGGAAAATATTCAATGTATATAACTCGAAAACAGTTTTAAATAAAGTAAGAAAAAAGAAACTTTATACATATAATATATATCTATTTGCCTATCACATATTTTTATAGTAAATATATATATATTTATCTTCATTATTTCCCTCCCCCCCAACACAGGATAATTCATAATGCATAGCAATATGTACTTCAAGTCGCTAAATATTAAACAAATAAAACATCAGGATAAGATGTGTGTGATACTTGTACTACTTTTAAATTATGAAAGATTAAAAGGATTATTCCAAATGTCCATTTTATGTCTCATAATGCTTTAATATTGAGTTTTATTTCCTGTAAAATATCAGGCGTTTATTCAAATTCCTATTTGTATCTCTTAATTCTTTCGCAGATCCTGAACAAATTATTAATGCGTGTCACATATACAATAGTTAAATAATCCTAAAAATAAAAATTATAATGAATTTCAATGAGGAAACTGTAGGTTATGGGGCTGCATAACCCTATATTAATTTGAAAAAATTCTTAAAAAATGATAAAACAAGAGAATAAAAAATCAAGCATTTTCTTTTTATTCAATAATTCAGAAACTGCACGATTTTATTCAAATAACATTGTTTACTTATTTGTTGTATTGCTATGCATCTCACACTCTTAAATCATTTTGTATATTTATATACATACACAGACGAACAATAGAAATTATAAAAACTTTGAGATTTCTCACGCAAATATAAATCGAAGATGTAGAATAAATTATTTTTTTACACAAAATCTATTCGAGAAAAATGACTTTAAAGTTTGAATATGCATATATTTGACTTAAAATTAATTATACTCATATTTACAAACAATGTTATAATTTGAAGCAAAGTAATAAACAAGTTTCAATAATATATATATTTATTCCACTTTCCCAAAAGTTATAAATTACTGTAAATTTCACTTCTTGTCACTCACAAAGTATTTTGTTCAGTAAATTAAAGTGCAAACTAAGTTTTTCAATTGTTTCTTTTTCTTCTTCAACCTTATAGTTAAATGAACTTGTAAAATATTTGTCACTTGATGAAGACTTCCTATAAAATGTAAAATTATTTCGAGATTAAAATCTTGGGAGCCTCAAACAAGGAAAAAATTTAGATTTAAACAAAGGATTGATAAAAAGAACATGCCTGCTCCTAAACGATAGTAATGAATTTACAATTGTTTGTTTACAAATACAAACAGAAATTATTTGTTTATGCCGAAATATTTGATTTTCATTAACACACATTCAATCTTCAATAAAAAAATCAATTTTCTCAAAAATAAAATATATAAAAAAATTTTATTGTATTTATATTTACATATAAAATTATCTTTCTTATATTTTGTGTACCACGATTCGTTCTGTATATATTTAAAAAATTTTTAAATACTCTAAAAATTGGAACATATATTCTCTTCTCTCACATCTTTTTTCTCTTTATCCTCACACTTATAGAAACGCCATTTTGCCCTATGGAGAAGAATATTCTGTTTCTTCTTTAGATGAAAATCTACCTCTTTTTCCCCCCCACTAATTTTTTATCTTTGACTAAATGTTATTGCTCTCTTCACATTGCGAAAGGTTGTTTACCTTGCATATTAATCACCCACGATCAGATGTAAGGTTGGCTTTTATGAAGAACACGTACGAAGTGATTCCTCTCTTTGTTCGAAAATCCAAATTATTATCTGTCCCTTTTAACGGCGCAGTACACTTGTAACAAAGCTTGACGATGGTTGACAACCCGCTGACCAGGTACAGCTGCAGGCTACAGTGCACTATTGCGAGTTCCGCCTGTTCCGAGGACATATCTCCATCTCCCTGACGCTACTTTCGTGCGCATGCGCGAGTCTTGTGGTCATTGGACGCACAAATTGATTTCAACACAACACTTGTGTTAAGATGCTTAAATGATACGTGGATTCTGAGAACCTAAATAAATTATAATTATTAATATTTTTTTCATATTGTATCCTATGATTTATGTTAATAGCATGTAACATCTATGAAATAATATAATTATTAAATATATATATAAATATATAATTAAATATACATATATATGCATATATAAATTTTTGAGAAAAAAATCATCAATCAAGAGAGATTAATTAAAAAATAATTAGAATCTTTTGCATTAAAAAAATTTTTTTTAATTTAAATAAAGAACAAAAAAAATTATATATATAATATGATAGGAAAATTCAATATAATTAAATTTTTCATTTTTTTGTGTATTCATAAATTTTTAATTATATTTTCTAAGATAAAAAAAGGGAGGTTTTTAATCTTAAAAATATGATGTATAATGATATGTAACGTACAAAAAATCTGCTCAGAAATACAAATTATACGAATTTTCTTTTTTTCATTTCTTTTTGAAATATTTTAGCATTTCTATTATTTCTAAACTTAAAATTTCTGATTTTATTTTTTGGGATATGTTGGGAGAGACGTTATTAGGGCTGACAGCATCATTCTGTCTCTGTTACTCGCTGAAAGTAAAACAAGGACAGAGCACGCTCATAGCGCTAAAAGCGCGCTCCCTGAACACTCCTTGTTCATATTTTTCTGTAAAACACATTTTAATTAGTTATAATATATATCAGTATTATTCATAAAAAATGCAGTTTTTAAAATTGCTAAATTTATTCTTAGCAAAGCTAAGAAATAAGATAATTAAATATATTTATTTAAGAATACTCATTCTTAAAAAAATTTAATTATCTTCTTTTTTAAATTATACTGCAAATAATATTAAAAAGATAAGATAAAATATACCATGTTTATTTCTAAAAAGAAGCGCACACTCCTTGAAGCTTGTTGCAATGCTTTCTCAAATCCATCACTGCCAACATCCTATCGATAGAAAAGATTAAATATTTAATTTTATATTAAATTATATTTAATTTTTATTTAATTTGATATTATAAAAATATAATGAGGAGAGAATGACCCATTGAAACATGGAAAACTTCTATATTTTACATAAGATTAATCTTGCGCAAAAAATACATACAAATAAAGGATCTTTTATGCCAACTATTCCAGTTGGATCATATGTTCCAAGTAATTCAATCGTTGCTCGGCTATTTTTTGGTCTAATATCACATAGTACATGAGTGATATAATTGTCCATTCCAAATATCCAGTCAAAATTATAGAAATCATTTGTTGTGATCTAAAAAATAAGTTTTATTGAGGGAATAAGAATAAGAATCTCATATAAAAAGATGATAAAAATATAGAAAAGAATAAAAATAAACTCACTTGTCTCGCGACGTGAGAATAATTTGTAATTCCTTCTTTTTGTAGAGTTGACATTGCTCTAGGTTCTGGAGCATTACCTACATGATATGCCATAATAGCGGCACTTTCAACTTCCCAAAAATCAGACAAACCCATCTTTCGCACTTGATCTTGAAACACTGCCTCTGCCATAGGGGAGCGACAACTATTTCCTACATGAAGATATCACACACATTTGAGACTTTAATTAAAAATATTATTTAATTAAATTAAAATAATCATTAATCTAGAAATATTATCATTTCCTGACAAAAAATTGTTTTTATAAAACTTTTTCATGAATTTTTATGCAAAAAAATTTAATGTATATAGATATAAATATATATAATTAATTTACACAATCAGAAGTATAAAAAAAGAGCTAATAAAAACTAGAGATATTTATATAAAAAATAAAAAAAATTTTTAAACAATTTTATTGCAATATAATATCTGTGCCTTTTATTAGTCCTCTTTCATATCTAATTAGTATTTATATATAATCTCTTAGATTTTTTTTCAATTAATTATAATAATTAATATTTAAATATTGTATGTAAATAAATTCTTTTAATAAATAAAAACTTGGTATTATTCTTGATATAAAAATATATGCTATTAATATATGCAATAAAAGTATATTTTATTAAAATATATTTAGTTTTACAAACTGGATTGCACATTATGCAAAATTTAAATAAAATTATATTTCTCGTATTAGATTTTTAATTTTAATAAGTTACATTTAAAAATGTAAAAGAATATTTTAAGAAAAAAAATTAATACATTAGATTAAACACAGATAATTTATTTTGGTAGGTAAAGTACATATTCGTTCAATTATGTAATATTTAAAAATAGAAATTTTAATAAACTTATTATTATAACCTCAATTGAAATAGTTTTGTTGTAATGTAAATATTAACTAGAAAGATATTATCATTGTATATATTATATAAAAGCAATTAATTCATATATTTATTTCTTTTGCAAAAAGAAAGTTGAGAGATACTATCTAATTTTCATTCTTCATTTAAAATAATAGAAAACAATTCAAAAATTATATGATTAATAATCAATAAATTAAAATACCTAAACAAACCATAAGGACTCTCTTCTTTTGTGACATTTCTTGATTTTTTTCACCAAGTTGCAAATTATTGATTATGTTCAGCAGAACACTTATTGAGTTTGATGGCATAACAGCCAGGACACTTGACGTCTATGAAGTAACTGTTTGGCTTCTGCACGAGCCTCTCACGAGTCTTATTAACATTCTATGATTTAAATTTATTGATTCTAAATGTAATCACGTTCAATTGCTACCAATTGCAAGTTGTTTGTTCTATTGAATACAGTCACTGTCAATATCTATTCAATTTTCTTGAGATGTAGCTTCAGCTTTCACAATGAGATGATAATGCAATATATATCACTATATATTTATATATATATCACCACATGTGTGTGTGTATGTGTGTGTATATATCATACTGTAATATTTTCAGCACAATATATACTTATAAGCATAATAATGTAAAGAATGATAAAATCAATTTGCAAATTGTATCTATATATAAAATTCTAAATACTTTTTCATTAACTTTAAATCTATTATTTTGTGTGATTAAAATGTAATTCTTCAAAAATATGATTTTTAAATTTTATATACATAAAAGATATTTTTAGAATTTTTATTCAATGCAGTTTTTCATTGAAAATATTTAATTGTAAAATGAATATTTTTATAATTTCAGAATTAAATAAAGAAACTATTTCAATGTTTTAAATAGCAATCGCAAATCACGAAAAAGTTAGTAAAATTGTATTATTTTACATTAAAACATTCTTTAAAATTTTTTCTGATTTAATATTTAAGAATGTTAGATTAATATTTACTTTTTGTATTAATTTGCATATTTATTCAAAAATGCTGTTACACTTCTCAGGCATTGCTCATAAGCTTTCTGAAATCCTGCACTACCAGCATCCTGTGAGAAAATCATAAAAACAATTAATAATAAATAATTTTATATTTTCATTTTATTTTGTGATTTTATGAATGTTGAAAGATGACATACATAATATGGGTCTCGTATTATGACTTCTCCACTAGGATCATAACTTCCTAGAAGCTCCACTTTTGCTCGGCATTCCATTGGCTTTATCGTTGACTTTAAACCATTTAAATCTTGAATGTTATCATTATCCATCCCAAATATCCAATCAAATTGATTAAAGTCTTCTTTTGTAATCTGTACAAATAAAAATGTTTATAGTAATGTTGTACAATTTGTAGCAATATAACTTAAATTCTAAACAATTATCAACTAATTTGTTTGATTTAGTCATAATATTCATATATTCATTCTCTTCTTATAAAAAATTTTAAATCAAGACTTAATATAAATTGCAACGATAAAAGTTATAAAATATAATTGAATTAAATTTAATTTTAATTACAGTCTTACTTGGCGTGCTCTGTGAGAATAATTAGTGATTCCATTATCCTTTAGTGTGGCCAAAGCTCTATGATCTGGCACTTTACCTGTATGATAGTTTATAATAGCAGCGCTTTCTACTTCCCATTGATTCTTCAAACCTCTTTTACTCATTTCATTTGCAAACACAGCTTCTGCTATTGGCGAACGACAAATATTGCCTACAACATAAAATATAAGTATAAAACAGCTATAATTAATAATAAAAATCACAACAAATTTTTCATAACAATCATCATGAATTCATCATAACAAGACATTTTTCTTCTCATATTATATACATAATATTTTTACCTAAACAAATCATAAGTACTCTTTTTTCTGCGACATTTTGATATAAAATACAATTTATTTCTGTTATAATTAGAAATTTTTAGAGAATACTTTACGCTTCACGTGTCATCAAAGACGTATATGACACACAAAAATATAACAGTGTCGGACAAAATAATAAGCCAATCAGAGAGAGGGATCCGAGAATCTACTCTTTGATTGGTCAACGCTAGTTACTCTAGGAGAATGGTAAATGGTGGACTCTTTGATAACTAAATCTTTCCAGCCAATCAGAATTAAGCATTTTTGTGGCTCGATTGCGAGATACGTCAGCAAGAAAAAACATTTGGTAGTACTGACTGACAGTCGTAGGGTTTCGCGTTAAATCTGATGATGGTCCTTTCCAGTGAATAACGTTGTATTAAACACGTGGTTACACTTTGTAATTATTGAAATTAAGACGAAATACGCAGCGAATCACGTAAGTACGCATGTCGTTTTATTCGCTGTCATGCGGTTTTCATTTTTCTGTAAAATGAGAGACTCGATCAGCTCGGAAATATGTTATTCAACGTGCATATCGTAGCGGCATTTTTCGGCCGTCATGCTCGCCCATATTATCCCACATACCAGAGAAATATTATTCAATCGACGAGAAAATCAAGTCTCCCTTCTCCGACTGTCATTTTTATGTCACAGCTAGTGGCGAAAATTTATTTTGCATAAATTAAAATGTTCCATGATCCCAAATGTATTAAACGAGATTGCACAATGTTGTGCGTGTATATTGTTTGTCTTAAGAGAGAAGACAGTATAAACACGTGGAAAATAATAGATATTTGTTGTTTAACAGAATCAAATTTATGAGTATATTCTAATATGAGAGATTTTCTTTGACCATTGTTTCTTTGTTTTATAGAATGCCGTTGGCAAGAGATTTTCTTCACCCGAGTCCCATCGAGGAGAAGAGGAAACATAAATTGAAGAGGCTCGTGCAGAAGCCAAACAGTTACTTTATGGACGTCAAATGTCCTGGCTGTTACGCCATCAAAACTATTTTCTCGCATGCCCAGAGACCAGTTGAATGCGATGGATGCCGTACCATATTATGTACACCAACGGGTGGCAAGGCAAGGTTAACGGAAGGTTGCTCTTTTAGAAGAAAAGTACAATGTTAATTTTACGTGATGTATTTAATGCTTCTCTTTATATTCGATAAATAAATACAATCACATTATATTGTTCTTTTGTTATTGAACATATTCTACTTCTTGTGCTAGATATACTAACAGTAAATATTCAGAGACAGCTCTGTATTAATACCATTTTTCAGAAATCAAATCTTTATATTGCATTTATAAGTAATAAATTAATTGCATTACCTTGTAAAGAATTTTCTATTAAAATTAAAATACAAAGTAAATTGTCAAATATATTTGAATTAATTTTAAATTTAAAAAGAATTGGAAAAACATTTATGATTATGCTTTATGTGTATTTTTCTAGTATTTACATTGATTTTTAAATTTTATTTTATTCTATGTGTATATGTTTGTGTATATAATACAAATAATATATGCAATATACAAAGACGCATAAATGACATAGATATAATCATAAATTTTTATTTTCATACACGTCAATGATCATTTTTATAATAAATTTGACAATATGTAACAGAAAGAGATTTCTATGGTATTTCAAGATACTCAAATCTCATGCACGATACGCGGATGTAACAGATAGCTATAAATAGGCTGCTGCGCATGCTTGCGTGCTATATCTTTTATATTTTGCGTTTTATGGCAATATCCTAATTAATAAAAAAAAAAAAAAAGAACTTAGGAATGTAAGATTGCGTTGTATGCTTGAAATACTCCAGGAGCGACTTCCACAGATCGAGATTTTAGGGATAACTGTAATCAAAAAAAATAATTCTAAAACTGCAGAATTTGAGAAACTATCAAGTAAATATAATAATTTTTCCGTGATTATCTCTGAAATTAAAGTGGCTAATAAAAAAATTATGTTTTAATCCAGAACAAAATCACATTGATAAAAGAATATATCTCTTATATTTATATGAAAAAGAACAAAATAATTATGACCTAATTAAATTTCTTTAAATAACCATTAGTTATTCAGAGATAATTGCATTAGAAAAATTAAAAATAAAACATTCTATATTAAACATACTGTGACATCAGGGTTGCCTGGCTGAATCTTTAATTCGTTTAACACCCAGACATTGTTTGTCAACTTAAGAGATTGATAAAGCATATCCTGTCCCTCCACGTTTCTCTTAGCAATTGTGAAGACATTGTTTTGTTGCATTTTTTGCACAACTTGATCCGCGGTCAACATTACTCCATTCAGCGTATATTGTACCTGCAAGTAATATATACATAGTCTTTCTTAAAAAGTTGTATTAATAAAAATTTTACTAATTAATTTTTATTTATGTAGTATATATATCTTACAGGATGTTCCATAGGAAATTGCTGAAACTAATCAACTGTTATTTTTTAATGCATTCAGTTATTAAGAAAACAAAAATTGTGTTGAAAAGAGGAAAGTCTACAGTTTTTAATGGATATAAATAATATGTTAGTATACCAGTTTATTTTATTGATAAAAAGTAATGAAAAAAGTGTTAATAATCACATAAAATTACATAACTAATGATAAATATGTTCAACAGTGCCAGATATAATAGCAGCTATTAAAAGGATTATCAATAACATTAAAAATGACACATTACAAAAAGTTTTTACAAGTTTCCATAAAAGAATAGAATTTTGTACAAATTCAAATGGTGCACACTTCGAAAATATTTATCATCAGTTTACATATGTGATTATTAGCACTTTTTTCATTACTTTTGTTCAATAAAATAAACTGGTATACAAACATTTTATTTATTTCCATTAAAAACTGTAGACTTTCCTCTTTTCAACACAATTTTCGTTTTCTCAATAACTGCATTAAAAAATGACAGCTGATTAGTTTCAGCAATTTCCTATGGGACATCCTGTATATTTCTGCATAAATAAATATAGACATAAATATAGGTGATTATTACCTCGTTTTGTGCAGGTATGTCTTTCCAAGTTGAAAGAAATACTCTCTTATCTAATTGACCATCCTCTGAGAAATACACATTCATTGGTACAATACAGGCGAAATAGAAAACGTCGATATTGTTCTTGATAGCGACTTGAAGATTGTTTAAAGGCTCCATACGTTGCACTGCACCTGTAGTAGACAATATAACGCTCGCTTCTATACTTGCTCCAGGATTCAAGGGAGCCGGTACTTGCAACGGAGCCGCCGGCGATAGTCCAAAGCTGTTTTTGTTGAGCTGTATCGCGAATCCTCCCATAGGTTGCATCGCCTTATTCGTGAAAGTCATATCCATACTAATTTGTCCATTCCTACGACATCGATGACATTTCACGATATCAAAAATTACAGTTAATTTATAATTTATATTAATCGATAGGTGATGTATTTTTATATTAATTACTTTCTAGTGAATGTGCCCCAGATATCGAAACCTTTGCCTTTTTCGGCCGGTAGCCAATTAACTTTGGGAGGTATATAAGACACGGGGCCTTGGTTGAAGCCAAATATATCGCCGAGGAGACCCGTCGTACTCTGGGAAACGACCGGCGCTGCGGTTGTGTTATCAGTATTGCTTAGAATTCCGTCCAAACCGCCGCCTAGCAGATCCAGACCTATTCCTGCGGATTGTGGCGCGGGTGACGGTGTGACAATTGCTGGTCCACCTAAAATATAAGCATTGAACATTATTACATAAGTAAGTGTACAGCAACAAACGAAATAATTGAATATAATTATACAAAATTTTATCCGTTCTTAAAAAAATAATAGAAAAAGTGTTTTATACCCAAGATGTCTCAATTTAAATAATTAAAATTTTTCCAATTATCGAGTCCAAGATTTACCAATATCCATGCTGAGGAGATCGCCTATTAGAGAATCTTGCGCGGGTATAACCTGGGCGTGAGGCTGTGCATTTGTGCGGGCGGACTCTTCATTCGAGTTGCTTCTAGCGGGCAAGGACTTTCTGGCACCCGCGGCTCTACCTTCCACGAATGCCGTGGGAGGCTTGTGATATACAGACGCTAAACTGGAGATATGGCAAATCAATTCGTCCAACAGTGTCGGCTCCAACAGATCCGTCTCTTCCGAGATCAGAGGTTTTTCCGCGAGCACCACCTCTTTAGCCGCCGCGGGATCGGTGCTGAGCAGCCGCCAGTAAATGAAACCGCGATCACGAAGATCGGGATTGTCGGAATCCTGCGTGGCCAGACTGAGTACTTGCTGAACCAACTCTTGCGTATCCGTCGGTCTCTTGAGGAATAATTTTACGATTGCTGTAAGCAGTTGAAGCTGCACTTGCGTGTTCTCGTCGTGGAATCCTTCCAGAAAACTCTCTAGCAATTCATCCGCGTTATCGATGCGTTCCGCGTACTCTCCGATGATCCAAATCATAGAAGCACGCGCCTCGGGTTCGTCAAGTGTATCCAGATTCTCGCACAAGGTTGAAATTATGCTCTCATACTTATTGGGATATTTGCGGAAGATATCTTTTATTACCACAATCGCCTCTTGAACAACGTAGTTCACCTGAAAAAAATCGAAAAATTAAAAAGATTGCAAATAATTAAATAATTTTTCGACAGTATATTTGTGTATATACATTTATTATTATATTATATTATTTTTGTTATTTGTCAAAATATATATTAAAAAAAAAGACTCTTAAGTCAGATATGAAAAAGACTAACAAGAACAAGACATACAGATATTAGGCGCAACAAAATTGCTTTTAGATTCCTCTTTAATTATTTTGAACATTTCAGTCCACGTGTATTGATTTTTTACTAATCGATATGCTGAAGATAATTCAAAGGAAGAATCGAAACGTTCAAAATAATTAAAGAAGAATTTAAAAATAATTTTGTTATACCTGATATCTGTTCCTGACTTTGATTAATTCTTTTCATATTTGAATTTTGCATTTGTATATCAAATCCTTTCCAATTTATTATTTTAATATACTCCTGAGTTTAATATAATTCTCTCTGCTCTAGAATATCTTTTATTTAATCACCTTGGTTTGTATCAAATCTAGCAATGTGGAGACGCAACGTTCAGCAGACGGTTCGACTTTTATGGCACAGCGACCGATAGCCCTGACAGCTTTTCTTACAAAATCCACGTCGACCTCGGTGGCGTATTCTTTCAGCTCCGACAAAACTTGCGCGATGTTGGCCTGCGACGCTAAACGAATCATAATATCCAGTTTTTCTAATTTTACATATATTGGATCGTTGTATTTGACGAAGAATACTTTCATCTCGTGTTTTAGAATATCTGGTCGCTTTTGCACAATAAGATTAATATTTCTTAAAGCGACGTATTGAACTTCTGGCTCGGAGCTCAATAACGTGACGAGAGGCGGTGCTAATTTCTTCGTCAGCGTGCCGACAAAATCCGATTCGGATTGCAGCATCTCCATCAGTTTCATTAACACCTGTAATTTGCAAACGAGTTCAATTGATATAAAATTGTTTCAATAATAAATAACTCAAAAATTACTTTAAAGGCTCTAAGAATAAAAATTGAGAAATCTACGAGCTTCTTTCAATTAGATTCTAAACCTAGTGTAATTTTACAAGAATTCCTGAATTTTTAAAAAGAAAAATCCTTAACAATCCTAAGTTCTTCCAGGAAGTAGACATCCTATTTATTTATAATGCGTTCACCTTGACAGCAGAAAGCACGACTGCAGCATTAGCATGCGCCAGACGCGGTGTGATCCTTTCGCAGATGCTTTGCGCCTCGCGATCATCCTTGGGCGAATAATTCGCCAGTGAATCCAAAATGAAAACTTGGCCCCATTCCGTACACTCGTTTAGCGCCGTCAGCAGTTTGTTTATGGTCTGTGCATTCATCTCTACCAAGGGTTGACCGCTCGGACTGGCCTCGTTGATCTCGGACAAGGCAGCTACTGCGTTTGCGACAACCTAACAACAATCGTCACTGTATCATCTTATTCGGTCTTATAATTTCTTAGACAATAATGATTCAAGTGATTTTAATAGCCTTTCTTATCAAAAAATGTTTTTTCTACCAATTTCTGTATACTTTATGAAATATATTTTGCTAATTGTGTTCCAGGTTTACCAAGAATCTTTGTGAGAGAGTGGAAAAAGCTAATGTACCATTGGATTGCTATCGGACAGGAGATCCTTCAATTGATCCAGAAATCCCTGGTCCTCGACCAAGGCAGCGTTAATGTCATAAAGCTTGGCGACGCACACGGCTGCGGTCTTGCGTACATACGGATCCTCGTCCTTCAGGCACTTACGCAGCGGCTCACACAGATACTCGGTTATCTTGTCGACGCGTATGCATCCCATCGTACGAACTGCTAGCGCGCGAATCAGCGGATTTGGGTCCTCGCAGTCCTGCGCAAAAATCGGGCAAGCCAGGGATTCAAGTCTAGTCACAGTAGTGGCTAATCTATCTCAACCCATGAATTTTAACAAAGTAGAAAATAGCATTGGTACCTTTGTCATCGGAGATGTCGCTAGCTCCTTTTGCGTGTCAGAACGAAAAAGGTCAAATTGGTCACCGTCACCATTTTTCATTAAGTGTTAAATACTATATACTTATCAGTCGTTTATAAAGTAGTGTATGAATCGAGAACTGATCATTTTTTAAAGAGCACGAGGTATCATTTATATGTATATTGTAAATTTCTCTTTCTTTTTTTTGTTACGATTGTTCAACTTTGTAAATGGAAGAAAAAATTGAATTACGAATGTTACATCAATATCAGTCATGCAAATAAAAGATAACTGCATAAACAAGGTACGTATATATATTGTCTAAGACGAAGAAGAGCATATTTACAAAATATTTATATTAAAATATTTGCATTTGTAAGGCATTTATAACAGAAATTACATTCAATTAAACACTGAAATTTTGAGTATAATACAAATTATATGTGCGATAAGTAAATATGATCTTTGTACAAGCACCAATTGCAATCATATATGTATATATACATATATATATATATATATATATATATATGTATATATAATATATGAAATAAACATTTAAGGAATCACATTCTTCATGCTGCTGCACATTAGAAATTTGCCAGTAGAAATATAATGTTCGAATCTATCATTCTTTGAAACGGTATCTGTGTAAAATTCGATTAAAAAATTTGATTTAATATATTTATATCATAAATATATAGCAATGCGAAAAATATACAATCTGCTTCAAGCATTTCGTATAAAGATTAATATATTTGTGTGATTCTTTTTTCACAAATCAAAAAAGTTGACATGCTCAATTTAGAGACAAGACTGTATTGTTATTAGTGCATTAGCGTGAGGAAAGTAATATATGTATATATATGTATATAATATTTTATAAATTACTCTATCAATTTGTATTTCATACTAATCATTATATATGTAAATATACATATTAATATAATGGATAAACACTTACTGGAGTACATTCTGGAATTTGGTTCTTACATATTTAACAATAGAAAAGAAAAATGTTTTCACACATGTGTTATTATATTATTATATAATTCTAGAAAATTATTCCAAGAACTTTCCAGAAAATAATACATTATTATTTAAATATAGAATATTGGAGCAACCAAAGTCCAGATCTCCCTTCTGCCCCCTCTGTGCCCTTTGAAAAATAAACAGTTCAATCGTAATGAACGAAAAAGTTACATTCCGCCCCATAACGCAGACAGCCCTGTGCAAACTGTAATTTGCAAAGCACAGTCTGTATACAGTGTGAGGCACGCTGTAAAATAAGTATACCTACGATATTTATTCAACAAGAGGTATTTATACATTTATTTTAAGAGATTTAAGGTCATCAAGAATATATAATTCTTTCTCAGCTTGCCTCTCTTTACAGACAGACTCTGAACATTATCCAAAAGTATCATATTAAGAAATATGTATAAAGGGTAAAGGTGCGTTATATATATATATATATATATATATATATATATATATATATATATAAATATAATAAAATTGTGAATCATGAATTGAGCTAACGAGTTTCTAAGCTACGTTACCTTGACGAACGTGTTGACAGCCATGATGGCCATGTCTGGTTGGCTCTTGGCATAGTTCATCAGGTACAGGTACACCAGTTTTTTCAGCTCCAAATTGTCAGTCTGCATACAGTTCACCACATCAGGAAACAACGCGGACACATCTTTTCCAACTGTCATAGAAGCAATAACCTGAATAGATAATTGATAATAATTAATTATTTGTGTCATTAAATAATGCAACAATATTGCAGCATAAGTGACAGATATAAGTGTGATATTTTTAGTTAAACAGAGACAGAAATTATTTTCTCTTAAAGATATAGATTTTATTATTTTAATTAATTAAATTCATTAAAATAAATATTAATTAAAATATAAATATTATTTTATAATAATTAAATATTATTAATCTTATTCCATAAAAAATTAATTAATCTTATTCTATGATATTACTTTCTAAAATATCTTATGTAATTGCTGTTATATATTTGTTACAAATATATAATTTGTTTCATATTAATTAAATAATTTACAAGATGCAATGCAATGTGTAATCACATCAATTGTATATATTGCTAGTCTATATAATGCATTTAAAAAATTTTAGATATACAGCATATAATATATAATTTTTTTTCTACATATTGTTAATATATTGATAAATTTCAAAAATATACAGTAAATTATTGATATATATTAGGAGAAATTATATAAAGTATGTATAAAATATAGAAAGATTATATATTATATACAAGACACATTCTTCCAGGAAGAAGTTATAGGTAATATTCAAGTTCTCTGCAACTTTTATACTTGCAATTTACCTCAATGATACGAATATATATTACTTTTGCTATATAAATCTCTACAAGTATTGTATAAAAATGCTTATTTTCTGTTTTTCTCTTTGTATATTAGAAAATGAAAGTTAAGATTTTTAAAGGAAATTTAAGACAATATATAATAGCAGATTTTTATTTACCTTCTTTACAGCTTCCTTCTTCTTTTCTTTTTTCTCATTATTGAGTTCTGATTTAAGCTCAAATATTTCTCCCTTCTTTGTAGTTGTAAAATACTTTGAATCGGTCATCTTGTCTAATTGTAAATGTAATGAAATATATAAGTATATACATATATATATAAATATAAATTTATAATTTAAGAATAAAATTTAATGTTGTATATTCAATATGTAAATAATTCCACACTTTTTCTCAATTTACAATTAACAGCATTATTTCTTTATTAAAATGCTAAAGTTTCAACAATTATTCCATTTTAAGCAATCATATTATTAATTTAGTCATACTTAATTTTAACAATTATATAACTAATTAAAAATAATAATAATGAATAAAATGGATATAAAATTTGTGCAAAGTGTTGCCTAATCGAATTTAATTAGAAAAAATTAACAATGGAACTATCAAAGTATACTAGGGTCAAAGTGAGAGTGAAATGTCAAAATGGATCTGTCAAAATTGACAGCCGAGAGATGCGGAGAAGAAAATTGATAATTCCGAGATGCCTGTAGGGCAATTAAACGAGAGATTTAGTTTTTTCTTCTACTTCTTCTACTGGTTTGACAGAATTGATTGGACAAGGCAAGGTTCAACCTATATAGCAAACTGGATCAATGTCGAGAATCTATGGTGTCGTAACGCTAACTACGACACGAAATTAAGAGCCGAGCTGTCAAATTACGGCGAGCTCATTTCAAAAACGATACGGCAGGCTTCTCAGAAGTGGATATTAATAAGAGAGAAGGGAAAATGCGGCGAATTAACGCAAGTAAAAACGTGAAACATTACAGAGTATCTCGAACGATTGCATCTGGGATATCGGGTGAGATTGCAACTGCTCGCGCGTAGTTCATTAATTACCTGTCTATTTTATGGTGACAGGGCGAAGAAGGGACGATCGAAACAATCGAATCGTTCAGACGGCCGCGAGAACTAAAATCGAGACACCGCCCACCCCGAAAAAGCTGATATTATGCTAACTATGGGCAACTACACACCGTACGATGACACCGAATGACACTTGGTCGCGCACGCTATCGGAGCATGCAAGGCTTCGTGCACACGTAGAAAATTGATAGACGAAGGCTCGCGGAATTATCGATAAGTGAATCGCTTGCGATTGGTCGTTTCTTAACGCGAAGCGTGTGTACTCGGCATTAGGGTCTGTCTAGGAACTTTTGCGACGGCGACTTTTGATTGGTCCGTCATTTTTTCTCAACTCCCGCTCGAATTCAAGTTTCACAATATTCTATTTTTAATTGTAAATAATAATTAAATGATAAATATATTATAGAAATACTAAAAATTAATTTCTACATTAATCTAATTATGTTAAATAATTTATGGTAAAATAATTTTTTACATTTAATACTTCTTTCTTAATTTTTAATCTAAATATTACAAATCTTTCATTAATTTGTATAAATAATTTATGGCAATTTATAATAATAATATATAATTTATTATTATATTATTATTAATTTATTATTTTATTATTGTACAATATATATACATTCTATATACGGTGAGAATAAATATGTGACATTAAATACATGATATTGCATGTGTATGTGACTTTATATCATTTGCACGACACACTCGAGCAGGTAGGCAGCAACGAGACGTGCTCCGTATATTACGCATTAATTTTCGAGAAGCAATTAAATAAAGCATCATAGAATCATCCTCTCTTCCGAGTAATTAATGTGAGTATCATCTCGCACAATTATTTAACTTGTACGATGAAAAAATAACTCGTAAATGTGACAATTATGTCGGAGATATGCAGGAAAGTCATATCGATGCGACAATATATTGATAGAAAATAGAACTATAAATAGTTAAAAACACAATATATCGAACGTTGCGTTCAATAATAATAAAAATAAAATTTACGCATTCAACATAGATTTATGCATACGATATCATATTTCGTTGTATATTTCCAAATTGTTCGTTATGTTTTATTGCTAGATTAATATGTGTGATACGATCGACGTCGCATCGATGTGAAATTGTCGCGACGTCATATATCGATAATCGAAACATCGAGCGAGTGCGAGGTGCGAGATGGGTCCAGTAGTCTAGTCCCATTCCCAGTCCGAATCGAGACACATCAAGCAGGTGGGAGGTAATCCAAATTCATATATTATTTGACTGCGTAGCATACAAATACGGCGTCGAGCGACATATATGACATATCATTATTGTTTCCGCGTGATTTTATTGTTGCATTCACGCGGTGACCCTCGAATATTATTCGCTCCGTATATTTTCTTGTATTATTCGTGCGAATCGAGCAAGTGTACATCTATACGGATTAATAACGCGGCGTCGCGTTAATTTTCGAGACGCGATGATAAAAAATATAATTACGGTGTACAAGTGATTAGGAAGAATCGATCCGTGCAATTATATTTTATATCTTATATTGAAATTTTATTTTCATCATTTTCGATCGGTGTTTGGGCAATCATCAATTTTTTTCTTTTCTTTGCGGTTGGCGCACATGCGAGGTTAGTTCTAGAGACACCGCAAGAGACCGCTGGCGTCGAGGTTCCCGCGCGTTTTTCCCGCGTTATTTTCCCGATATACCGCGCGGCGCCAGCCATATTGAAGTCGGAAGAAACTTGCCGTAAAGACGTCGCGCGCTTATTAATCCTACTTGAGTTTGATTAGTACAGGAGCGCGTAATCGTAATTAAGTGTTTTTTCGAATGTGTACTTAATTGTAATGAATTGTATTTAGTAGTGAGTGTCACGAAGAAATACGGACAATGAAATAAGAGAGAAAAAGAACGCTCGAGGCAGCATCAAATAATAGCACAATTAACATGAGGTAAATAATTTATTTATTTATTATTACTTGTAACAAATTCAATAAAAGGAGTTTAATACACACAATAATTCAATTTGTTTATTTAGAAATGATTTAAGTAAAAAAATTTTGAATAAATATTTTTATATATATAAAAGTTTTATAAAGATTTTAATAAAAAAAAATAATTTTCCTAAATTTATAAAATTATTTAATTATATGTGCCTATTGTCTTATACATATTGTATTGTATATTGTACAATAAAATTTTCTGAAATATTAAATTATTTGAGCGCAACTATAATTTAAATTTAATTTAATTAATTTATATTTATATTACAGATCAATGACAATATACCGACAAATTGAGGGGAAAAGAAGTCTGAGAAAGGCATTAGATCGTAAAAGCAATCCTAACGAGTGAGTATTTATTATTATTGTATTTTTTTTTATTTTTAGTTGCATTAAATAAAAATTTATTAGTTATATATATATTAAGTAAAAATTATAAAATTATTTAATTATTTTCTTATTATTGCAAGCATGGAAAATAAAATCTAATTCAATATAATAATTATGAAAAATTAATTGAAATAAAAACATTTTGGGGTGCTACTATATATACTTTTTATATATTACAGATCAATAATTAATGACACCATCAAAATGAGAGAGCAGGACGTCTCAGAAAAGAATCGAGCGCTGACAAAATAGAAAGTGAGTATATTTATTATTTATTTATTATTTAAATTAAATAAAAATTTATTAGTTACATTAAATAGAAATTGATAAAATTATTTAATTATTTTTATCTTAATATTGCACACATGCAGAAAATCTAATGTCATAATAATAATTTGAAAAAAATGTGATTATCTTGGACGCTACTACAATTTTATTTTATTTGTATTTACAGATTAACGAAATGAACGATATCAAATTGAGAGAGGAGGAACTATGGGGAAAGACGTTGGCAAAGCAATCTTAAAGTAAATATTTATTATTTATTTATTAGTTGAATTATAAATAAAAATTTATAAAATTATTTTCTTAATATTGCATATATGTAAAAAATCGAATGCAATAATAATTGTTTGAAAAAATAATTATCTTGAACGCTACAATTTTTATTTTATTTCTATTTACAGATCAACGCAATAAACAATACCAAATTGAGAGGAGAAAATATGAGGAAAGACGCCGGCAAAACAACTTTAAAGTAAATATTTATTATTTATTTATTACTAAAATCAAATAAAAATTTATTAATTGCATTAAATAAAAATTTATAAAATTATTTAATTATTTTTTAAATATTGCATGCATGCAACAAATTGAATGCATAATAGTTGTTTGAAAAAATATAATAACCTTGGAGACTATTCTAATTTTCACTTTATTTGTTACAGATTAACAACACCATCAAATTGAGAGGAGGAGGAGGTCTGTGAGACATCGGGCGCCGGCTAAGTTATCTTAAGGTGAATATTTATTATTTATTTAATAGTTGAATTAAATCAAAATTTATTAGTTGTATTTAAATTGAAACTTATAAAATTATTTAATTTATATCTTTTATTGTATATACATTATTGTAACACATAAAAATTTAATTTTATTATTGTAACACATGTAAAATCTAATGCAATAATTGTTTTAAAAATTTATTATGTTGAGCGTTAAATTATATATAATTTTATTTTACTTATACGTTACAGATTAACATAGTTTGTTCTGCTATTGCATCGAGTGTTGGTGAGTGATAAATCATTTTATTATGAGGTAACGGTTTTAGATAGAGTGTGTGAAAATGTAGATTTAGATAGTGCAAATTGTAGATTGTAGATTGTAGATAGTGCAAATTGTAGACTGTAGATTGTAGATAGTGCAAATTGTAGACTGTAGATTGTAGATAGTTCCATTACCTTGAACAATAGAACAATTTACAATAGATTAACATTTCAATTTTTAAAAAGAACAAAAATATTTTTATACAAGATAAATGCTAATTGAATCGTGATATTTTGCATAAAAATTAAGTAAAAGTAATATGCAATGATAATCACTATTTACTTGAATATCTGATTTAGAAAATAGAGATCCATAAGAGACAAAAAATAGACGAAATATAGTTACAGAAATAAAAAATTTGCTAAATATTTATTGCAAACGATCGTTAAAACAATTATCATCAAATATCATAAAATAAAGGAAATTTAAAAAATTTTTTATATCAAAAATACAATTACATTTTTAAAACGTATTTTAGTTATATATTTTTTAAATATTTTTTATATATGTTTTAAATATGTTTATATGTATCATATTTACATACACAGTAAAAAAAATTGTGTTAAATTTAACACATTTCACATGTCCCAATTTATCCACTCTAATTTTAATGTTAATTTAACAGAAAACAATTATGTAATTAAATAACACACGTAATATGTGAAAAAATAACACAAAAAATATAATATAAGCAAAAATTCGTACATTTTCATTTAATTGTGTTGTTTTAACACTTAAAAATAGTGAATATTAACTCAACAGACAAATGTCAAAATAACATAACGAGAATATGTTATATTAACATAAGAGTATGTTAAAATTTTAACACAAAAATTTCTACACAAGATAATTTCAACAGAAATACGAAATGTTTTTTACTGTGTATGTATCATATTTATATGTAAATCATGTAAGTGCGGGAGTGTCGTGTAAAGTATCGCGCGCTTAACAATAAGTGCGGGAATATCGTATAAAAGGTCACACATTTAATAATAAATGCGAGATATTGTATAAAGTATCGATTGTTTAGTGCGGGAGTGTCGTTTAAAGTATCGCGCGTGTAAAGGATGTTACAACGAACAATCCCAATCAACCTGAGAGGAGGAACAAGCCTGGAGGCATCGGGCGTCGACGGAGCAACCTTGCGGTAAATATTTATTATTTTTATAATAAAAAATCTTGTTATAAATCGCGTATTCGTTAATGTTATTCCTGTATTTGAATAGTGTTTAATAAGAAATAATTAGAAAAAAATATACTTTTAATATAAAACTTTTTATATAAATATTTCTATATATAAAAGTTTACATTAAAGTAAATAATCTTTAAAAATTGTTAAAGTTATTTAATTATATATTTGTTGATTATTGTATGCGTTATAAATATATAATAATATAAAATTATTCAGTGCCTACAATGATCATTTTTAGAAATATTAATTATTTAGCACTATTATAATTTGAATTCTATTTGTATGTTACAGATCAACGTAGCTACGATGCAGTTATAACTCCGCTGTTGCGCATCGGCTGGTGAGTGAATTATTTTATTACATAGTAATGCTTTCGTAAAAATTAGATTAGAGATAGAGATTTAGATTGTAGACTGTAGATCGTAGATTGTAGACTGTAGATAGTTTCATTATCGAAATATTATCTGTTGAAATACGCGCATTAATTATGCGCAAATGCAATGTGGTTTGAGATTAATAGATCTAAAACAAAGAATATACGTATAGGCGGATAGATGCGCATCATGTTTCATTTTTTAATTTCAAAAGCGAATAAAAATTTAATGGATTATTCATATTTTTCTTATAATATTTATTCTAACGAAATAAAATAAATTTATTTATGTTCCACATATATTTAAAATTCTCTTTGTTACAAAAAGTAATTCTTATTTATAAAATTTTAATTTTATAAAATTTTTTAACTAAATGATAGGTATTTATAATATGAAAAATATATGTGGCAGAATAATACTTCTTTCGATTTTTTGTACATCTTCCACTTCATATGTAGCTTATATTCAATAGAAAAAATATTACAAAATTATACGGACAATAAGTGAAATTTATTTTTTACAACGTATATTTTACGTGTATATTTTATACGTATATTTTACAATATACGTTATCATCTCTCTTGACATAATTTTACACCAAAGTATTGTTTTTATATAAGATGCTAATCCTATCTGATAAAATATTACTTTTGATGTTGCTGCATTTTACAACCATTATTATTTTGATGAGAAAGAAGCGGTCGATTGTTTCGCATGGACTTTCTCGTACTTCGCTGATGCAACGTAAAGTCAGATCTGTAATTTACAATAACATTAATGATTAAAAATGTTTTGCAATTACATACTTTGTTATATCTTAAAAAGTAACGAAAATAGTCAAAAAATAAGAGTGAGATATTATATAGTTTAATTGATTAATCCGATGAACAAAAAACAAATATTGTTTATATATTATAGTAATGTTATATAGAGTATTTTAAAATTAAGTTTTAGGAAACAGGGGGGAAAGGGCATATTTAAATTCATATTTTAAATTAGAACGTTTAAATCTTGAAATATCCTATATCAATTAATAATATTAAAAAAGACATACACTAAATTGATAAAATATATTTGATTAATACATATATATATATATATATATATATATATAATTTTATCAAATTAGTGTGTTTTTTTAAAAATATTATTAATTAATATAGGATAATTTAAGATTAAGCATTCTAATTTAAAATATAAATTTAAATATGCTCACAAATGTTGTATTTAAAACTTAATTTTAAAAATGCTGTGTATAATATTATATACTATAATGTATAAACAATGATATATGTTTTTCGTTTAATCGGATGATTAATTAAACTATATAATATCTCATTCTTATTTTCTTAACTATAATCAATTAAGTCAGTACATCTTTCTTTCTTAAGCATTCATATTTGACTTGCATATAATGAATCCTGCATTTAATAAAGTGTGGTACATGTACTTTCACCATAATTCCCGCAATGTGCAAGTATGTGTGTTGGGCTAAAACGTATATGAATGAAAAAAACGGAAGAAGAGAATGAGATACGGTGCATCGATCGTCGGTCTCGTAAATTTTATTTCACCTTTGATAAGAGCCCTGCCGTTGTTTCTGCGGCCAAAGATGAAATGCACCATATATCAGAGGATTTACCAAGCTGTTGCTCATGCCGAAGAAAAATATTGCGCTCTGTAACTCCTCGCTGAGCTGGAAGCATCAAATAATAACGCGTTCGTTAGCGTATCGCGATAAGGATTTTTCAAGACGATTTGTACATATTTGCTTCGATTATAAAATACATATAAATATATATAAATATATAAATCGATTATAAAATATAAATAAGTATATATAAATATATATACTAACGTGCTCGTCGGGATTGAGAAACAGGACGATTATCATCATCGTGTAGTACGGCGTCCACCAGATTAAAAATGCCGCTACAATGACGACACTAATACGTAATGACTTTGTTTTCGCCCGGTGCATCAATCTTTTCCTATTTAAATCGCTGTTTCTGATATACGTCCCCTTCACAGGCTCTGCTTTGAACATTTTCTGACTTCCTGGAACAATGTTAATTTAGCTTACAATCGAACTTTACATCAGCATTTTCGTATCTCCCTCTCTCTCTCTCTCCTCCTCTCTTTATAAAATATATTATTATTCTTATATTATTTTTCTTATAATATTTTTTATGTTAATTTTCTTATTTTATTTATTTATTAAGAAAAAGATTACGCTCTTCGTTCACTGATACATATTTTTTATATACTCATTTTCTTACTTTATTGCGAATTTATAATTGAATAAAAGAAATATCGTTTACATGTATTTTAATAATAATCTGTAAAAGATAAAAAATTTCTTGTTTATTCGAATTCAAGTTAATTTTTTTCCGAGAGTTCAGCTTTAGATTCAGTTATTAAAATACGAATTATATCGGAAAGTTACATATGAATTGTTATTCATTGAGAGGACAATTTTACAATGTATACATAATGCAAAAATACTTACGGGAGATAGTAATCACTGTAGATACATATGTGGTAATTAAAATCGCCAATGGCAGGAGGAACATGAAGAACAGGCTGAAAGTGGCATACAGCTGTTCCTGCCAAGCCTCGGTGTAAAAGCCATGGGTCACGCATTGTGGAAATTCCTCGATAAATGGCCCTTGTGCAACATGAAATATCGCGACCTGTTAATAAAGCCAATGTATGAAGATACAAATATCGATATGATGAGTTAAGTGTGATATGATGAGTCTATGAGATAAATTGTCTAACATATGTATATATAGTGAGCCAATATTAAATACTATTTCTGGATTTAAAGGGATTTAAAGGGATTACAGAACCCATATAATACAAATGCTTAAATGTAATTAGTGAAGATAAAGTACCTAGATGAAAACTAGATAGTAACGTAGAAACAGATGAACACACAATGTCACACTATTTCATCAAATAGAAAAATTTTTTGAACTTTAAAAATTTGGTAAAAGTGATTTCTCATAGACATGTAGAAAATGAATAAAAATAATTTCATAAGTTTCTATTTCTATTCTGAATTTTTCTTTCTTCTAATGCATCTTTATCAAAATACTTGTCTCTAAAGTTGAAATTTGAAATAGTATATTTTTCTTGAATAATTCTCATATTACTCTGCAAATTTTAATAATTTGTAATAATTATTTTTATATTAAGTAAAAGTCTTTAAAATAGCGTGATAAATTCCTTAATATTGGAGAACCAGGAATGGACCTTTTTTAAAAATTAAAATTTTTTAATCTACAAAATTTTTCAACAAACTTTTTTTTTAATTTTAGGCGTTTTTTAGATTCTTTATATATTTTTCTAAAAAAAGAGACTCTTATTTTACTGTAAATGTTAACTGTTTTCGAGAAAAACACACATTTAATCGATACAAAAATTTTTATGCAGCTAATAGAATAATTATTTTGAATGGAATGACACGAAAGTGTATTGATTGTGTTAAAACTTAAAACTTATTCAAACGAAATAAATTCAGCAAAATTACAAAAAAATATAACTTCTTAAACTTTAACTTAAAATTAAAGATTAATTGTCACGCTACTTTAAAGATCTTTACTTAATATAAAAATAATTATTACAAATTATTAAAATCTATAAGATGATGCAAGAGGTATTTAAGAAAAATACTTTTCAAATTTTAAACAAAGATTCAAAGACTTTAGAGACGAAGATCTCGATAAAGATGCGTTATAGAAGAAAATTTATTTTAATAATTTAATATATTTTTTAAGAACTTATGGAATTAAATTTACTACTCTACATGTCTACGAAAGATTGTCCACTTTTCTTAATATATACAAACATATAATAAATAGAAAATGGAGCTAATATCACTTTGAACACATTCATTTGTAAATTTGACATTTGCTTTGACATTTGTTCATTGTTTCGACTTTCGGACCGAAGATGTGACAGCGTTAGCGGATCAATCTCAAATTCGTCGTCTCTTCGGTAAAGATCAGGATACATTATCAGAATCGGGGGAGAGAAGGAGAATGAGAGAGATAAGGAGTAAAGATTACTGTTGTTACTGAAGGTATAAAGATGTCGCTGAAAAGAATCTGGCGGAACAAGGGAAGCGCATTGATTAAAACAGACCCATTTCCCGTGTCTCTGATCTGTCAAGATATACACGTTTTACTATCAATCTCCGCCATCAAGACCGTGTCTCTTCCTTCCTGTCACGATGACAGCATTATTCTCTCTGACTCAGCGATAGCTCCGCGATCTCTCATCCTCTTTCTCGTCCTCCGACCTAAGCGGGCGACCTCGAGAAACCATATACAAACTGATCTCGGAGTCTGCATCCGCTGTTCTCCGCGGTCGGTGCACCTGACACCTCGTTAAATCGGGTCTCGGGCTTATTTATACAATCGGTCTCTAGAACTCCGAATAGTATACTCGATTGGCTTGCAACGTCTACTTGTCGCGTCTGACAATATTGATCTGTCACTTGTAGTTTTACACGTTAATATGTATTATTTACCGTTTACATTTATCGTTTATTTATCATATACTCTCTGTTTTCTTGTTTTGACTTTAAAAGAGACATTATTAATGAATTGAATTGAAATCAGTTAATTAAATTATCGACGTTTATTCAAAAATTGAAGAGCATAATGAATAAAATTACCTTGCTTCTCCCTGTTACGTACTAAAATGTTTGATATTTCTCATAGAGAAAATGATCGAAAATTATTTCTTTCTAGGCATTATTTAATTAGCAAAGAAGTCTTCTCATTAAAATATTGGTAAATTTAAAAAAGACTTTTAATATTTAGATTTAAGAATAAAATTACATATAATAAAATATATGTATATATATAATATAATAAATGTAAATAATAGAAATAATATAATATACCTACAATATAAATAATTTTTCTTGAATCTATTTTCTAAAAAAATTTATTAATTTATATTAGAATTTCATTGGGAAATCATCATGGTGCATCTGACCACGAAGATTCTCGGCTTGGTAATTTCTGCTATTAAGAACCTTTGTGAAATCAAGGGATCTACATCGCGAGAAATTCTTCATTATGTATCATCCATTTACAATGTCCCATATGCTGTCGCGCGACGTCAGGTTAATATTAACAATACTTTTCATTCTTTCAATATATGTAATTTTGTTGAGAACACATCAAAATATAGTATATCATATTACGTGTTCTCATCTTGAAAACTGAAAGCGCGACTTCTTTGCAAATAAATTATGCGTATTTATTTATTCATATGTACATAGTAAAATTATTCAAACATATATTTTATATTTTATTGTGGTAGACATTAATATTTTTCTTTTGGTAAATATTAATCAGAGCTCTTATTGAGAAGATTCTTCCTGATTACCATGATTTTCTGAGGATAAATTCCAAGAGAAAATTTCCTCCGTACAGAAATTATTATTTGAGAGAGAATTTTTGCTTAATAAATGAAAGATTCAGGTTAAAGAAATTATATATTCACGAGACGACTTTCTTGCGGGCGTAGATGCGGAGTGTTTTAAAACGCGGTGTCACTTGCGGTATCTTGAAGAAAACCGGTAATCACTATAGTCTGCCGATCGATAATGAGACCGCGCGACAGGAAGTGGCTATTCAGGAAATCGGTCTGTTAGACTTGTACTGTCAACGGGGAGTTCGACGATCGAGAGATCGCAGAGCGCGGACTCGGAAGAGGGTTTGCAGATGCGGGAGAAGACGCGCGCGACGACGAAGGTCACGAGGATGCGGGCCAAGGACGTGCAAGAGAAGACAGAGCAGGAGGAGACAGAGCAGGAGGAGTAGGAGACGATGCAGGTGCGGGGGTCTCGATAGACGTGCCCGCAGTGGGACGAAGTGTAATTTGGACGATGACAAATTGACCAGATCAGACCGAACTGTGACTGACAATGAGACCATCGCGGCTGAGCAAAGTCACTCAAATCTGCCTCTCGTTGAGTGACGAGATCGTGAAAAGTTATTGTATTAATCATGCGACCGTCTTAAAAATATCGCGTCTTCTATCAGTGGTTCCAAATTTTATAACAAAATAAAATTTAATAAATTTAATATTAAATTTTTAATTTATATTCAATTTATTAAATTTTATTATAAATTATATTATGTTGAAATTTATATTTAATAAATTTAAATAATAAAATTTATATATATATATAAATTATTTTAATAAAAATTAAATTACATTTTTGTAAATTAATTTAAAAATATTAATTTTTTAAATACTGATTCTGGAGAGTAAATTTTTGCTTCGATTTTCGTTTTTGTAAGAATTTTTTTATAATTAATACTTATATATGCTGAAGAAAGAATTTCGTACGTGACGAATTGTTTGTGTAACTATTTATATTTTCTGCTGCTATATTTTTATTACATAAAATATATTAAAATGTAAACAAAACTGAATTTTGTAATTAAAATGATTGTTTTACACTACAAAATTATTGTTAAAGATCTATTAAAATTTAGATGTATCATTGAATTTTCAAGATGGTTGTAAATATGCAGCATCATTTAATTGCTAGTGATTATTAATATACATATATATCGAGTACATAATTATTTTTATGTACAAGATTAGAAAGAATTGCCAATACTATTAAAAGCATTTATGAATATGTTTAGCATATGGCTATTAGTTGAAAATAAAATTATAAAAGATATATTTATATATATACATGCACTGTTTTAAAAACAGTTCTTTAAACAGATATCTTTCATATTATTATTTAAGATATTAATGGATCAAATATACGATTCAGAAATAATTTTGAACTTATTTTTTCATCATTAATATATACATATATATTGTAATATTAAAAGAAGTAAGTTTAATTTGTATCCATTAATATCTCAATAATATGAAAGATATCTTTTCAAACACTGTTTTTTAAAACAGTGCATGTATATAAATATATTTTTATAATTATATTTTTAAACAATATAGCGCATATATAGATATATCTCTAAAAAAATTAGCTACCATAGCTAAATTTTAGCTGTCCCTATATTACAATCTGAATTTTAGTTATTATGCCTCAATTTTAACTATGATAACTAATATTTTTTAGCTACAGTTTAACAGAGAATGCTATAGCTAAAAAATATTAGCTAAATAGCTAAATCGTAGCTAAAATATAATACCTAATTTTTCCGTGATAATTTTATTGTAATTTCACAAATTGTGAAATTACATAATTACAATATTAAACATATCTATAGAATTGTTTTCTTTCCTTGTTTGCTGATATTATATCTCACAGTATTAATCTTTTTTTCTGGGAGATGCACTGTATACATATTCCGAGGGTTATCATATGAATATACAAGACTGTGTTTTGCATATTAATGATGCATACGATGCACGTGAGACAGAATATATGTTGCATAATACTCATCGTATTATCTTATCTTTGTACATGTCACGGGATGTATGCAATATAAATTATAAATTATATATTGTTTTTATATTTATCACAAAGCGCACCTAGTTTATACGTTTTTTCCTCGAAAACTTGATGTAAATCGAAACATCACATTGTTCAAGAGTTTTCGCGATTTCAACAAAGAGACGAGATTATTGTTATTGAATTTTTACTTTTATTGCAAAATTGAAATTTATTTCTCTTTCTCTCCGTTATTTTTGACAAGTTATTATCATTTTTTAGAAAATCTATATTTACTCAATATATTTATTTATGCAAAAGTTATGCAGATTTTATATGCAGTTGTACACATAAGAAAGCTATAGTATAACTTCTAATGTAATTATAATTGAAAAATTTTCCAACAGATAGTAAAGATTAAATTTCTGATTAAAATAAAGTTACGCTTATCGTAATAATGTAATATTTTGCGGTATTGAAAATAATATATACATATTATAATACTATAATTATATAACATAAAAAAAAGATAAAACTTTAATATATTTTTTTTATTAGTGATCAAGGTACCAATGTTTATACGCAATTGAAATTAATAAAACTTAAAAAATGCGAGATATATAGCTTTCCGTGTGTAATAAATCACGAAAATTATATCGATCTTATTTTTTTACTTGAAGCAAATTGGCAAAAAAAACCAAATTTATATTTTTAAAAGTGCAAGCAAAAAAATTTACATATTTAATTTGGAGCAAATGATATTACGCGTTAATTATATTAATTATATATCAAAGACAAAATATCAGTCCCTCAAAGTATATCGTAGCGCGTTAAATCAATTGTTCTTTCCAAAAGACTAATAAGATCAACAAATATGTCACGTTTCATTCTTTAATCTAGTCACAATTCGAAGTAAAAACTTGTTTGCTACGTTAACGTTTATGTGATCTTTGATCTTTGCTAATTATTTGGTTCTAGAATCTTCATCAATTATAGCTCAGACTTAATGGCGACTAAATTGCTATCAATTTCATGTAACTTTATCTTTGTTTGTTAAATATAAATTTTAAAGCTATCGAGAAAGTTTTTTTCAAAAATTTATTCGATAAAAGATATTTTTATCTGGTTCCATGCACATTTGATTTATTGATATATTTTTTTCAATTTTAATCGATTGCCATTTACATATTTATTAATATTCCAGTTAAACAATTTGTCCGAGACAGTATAATTTCTCGTTATAAATTACTATCGAATAAGAAGTTAATATTCATGCAAAAACAATAATTGCAATGAGTGATCATGCGCTTTCACACAAAAGCAGTCTTATAATAAGTTTTAAAATACCATACTAATATAGCAATCATTGTTGAATTAAAGTATAGCTATTTTTTTTACTTTACGTGTAATTTCAGATAATAAAGTATAATTTGAGTACATAGAGCATAATTCTATGAATCTTAAAGGTGAAAGATCGAATCGCATTACATGCATTTTATAAACGTTCTCACTACATATGACTCCAGATAGTAAATGCATGTCATTCTCCATCAAAACAACGTCAACTCGGTCAAATGACATCATTTGATGTCGAAATGACATGCGCTTGTTATTTGGAATAATCGATAGATTGTCGCAAAATAATGAGAGATAATGATATATTTTATTTCGAAAAATATAAAATCTATATGAAAAAATATCTAAATTGCAATTCAATTACTTCGCAATAATTCTTTCCGTTAAATCCTAAGATAAAACATTTAAAAAGTTTATATTGTTTCAATATTCAAAATTAATTTTTATATTTTCTCCAAAATAAAAAAACAAAAATATATATTTAAAATATAAAATTTATATAGTAATAATTGTATAAGATTAAAAGTTGTACATGAGATATAAATACACGTATAATGAATGGAAGTGATAAAACAAAACATCTAATTATATGCGAAAAATATATATGAATTTGTTTACAAGGTTTTTAAACACTTTATGAATATGTAAAAAAAATTATTTTCAAGTAGATATGATTTTGGATACTCAATTTAAAAAATTCAAATTTAATTATTCTAGATTTGATTATTTAAAAAAAATACACAATCTATGAAATATTATTTGCGAATCCTAGAAAATAAAATTTGATTATTGGATTTTCGACTCGAATTTTCAAGTATATATCGAACTTGATATATCTCTTACTTATACGAGAAAATATAAGAATATATGCATCTTACCTGCGGAGTGGCCAGGATAAAAGCCAACGCCCAAGCGAGTAGCACAAATCGCGAGCACTTCTGAGACGTATTGAGACCCTTCATCGGATATCGCACCGCGACGAATCGATCGACACCGATCAGAACGAGGACGAAGGTGCTCAAGTACAGGCTGAACATTTGTAGGAACTTGAAAATTTTGCACGCGACGTTGCCCCACAACCACGCGACATTGTAACTCCAGATTGCGTCGCCAGCCAGGCAGAAGACGGTGACGAACAGATCAGCCACTGACAGATGAAGAATGAGGGTGTAGATGGCCGAGCAGCCCCGCTGTCTCCGACGATTCTTCGTGATCGAGTATATCGTCGCGGCATTGCAGACCAGACTTAGGACAGATATGACAGCCAACACGATGACCTGACGGTACACTTCTCTGGTCAGTTTAGGCGCGTGCTTCAGACACGTGACATTTTCGGATGACAGGTAGTCAGCTGATTGTCCGACGAGGTTGTCGCGGCCGACGAAGTCGGTGAGGTTGTCACAGGGCTCGGGGACAACGAAAACGGCGGAGAGGTCGGCAACGTTCGCCGACGAACTGCTGTTGCTGGTGCTGTTGCTGCTACTGCTACCGCTGCTGTTGATGACGATCGTAGGCAGTTTCATCATTCCCGGCATCAGCCGCATCTCGTTTCCTTGGACGGTGTTGGAGGCTTCATTGGTGGTTGGATGTCGACGGTCGAACGCGTAGTGCCTTCATTATTCTTCTGCGAAGAGATCACACGATCATATTTCAAATGATGAGATGCATGTTTCGCGAGCAATGCCTAAAGTGGGAAGGATGAGCTTAGGAGGAGTTTTCTCTCGTCGACGATTGTCCTCTTTTGGACTCTGTCAAACTCGTTTCTATACGATTCGTTCGAAGTGCGATCGCTTTACGTTCGTTTAGGCGAAATGTGGGGGAATGAAGCGAGTTTTCTGCGCGAAAGATATTGTTCTGTGCATCACAGAATAACAGAGATTCAATCAGAGGGCATCGATGAAGATGTTCGAAGTACATTTTATCTTTCAGAAGAAGCAGTATAATAAACGTGGTGTAATGTATAGTGGATGATGTATCGGTTCGAATGAATCTTTCATAGGTCTAAAAGATGATTTTTTTGCATATTCATAATCATTCATTTTTTACATTTTGGATTTAAAAATATTTCAGAATAATCAAAGAATCTGTCAATATTGATAAAAGTGTATATTTATATTGAGATCATTTTCAAGCACATATTTATAATAATAATAATATAATATATAATTATTTTATTTTAAATTCTTTTAATTTTAAGTCTAATATTTTCTATAAATTAATTAATTTTCCGATTCGATTTTTCATCTTGTAATTTTAATTCTTTGAAAATATTATAAAACCAGAACGATAATAACAATTGCATTAATCTTTCATTTGAGAAAATAATTTCGCGACACTTTTGTTATTTATTAAATTACTTTTTTCTTTTATTTCTTCGATTTATTTATTTTATACATTAAATGTCATTTTTACAATAATTTTAATATAAAGGAGAGTCTTATTATAATATTGTTATAATTGAAATAAAAGAGAATCTTATTATAAGAAAACATAAAATAAGACGGAGAGAAAGAGAGAGAATTTACAAAATTTTATTAAAAAATAACTTTGTAAATTATTATAAATTGTTATATTATACGTGTGTGTAAGATTAATCAATAGAATTTGATTTTGAAAGATGAATTAATGTTTATTGTGTCATCTTGATGATTGAAGAGAATACAGAGCAGTTCAAGCTAAGATTATATATACGTTTTTTGTACAGTAACGTAAACTGGTTTTGATTAAAAAAGTCAACCTCGAATGCTCTTATGATTTCTCGTTTATAAAAAACTGAAAGCTAAATGATTTATCAATCGTTTTACAATTGTATCAATATTTTCTTCTTATCGGTCATAATTTTTGTAAAATTATATACATAAAGAAGAAAAAGAGAAACAGAAGGAAAGAGACAGAAGAATTATAGATTTATAGTTTATATATTCATTTTTTATATATTTTTATCTAAACTGTATTATGATAACTTATATATTCTTTAGTTAAAGACACAATTTTAAATGTTTTAAAACACTTGTAAATGTTGCAAAAAAAGACAATGTTGAATTGAATAGGTTTTATATATATTAAATAATTATATAAACAATTTTTTATATAAACAATTATCATTCGAGCATTCACTATTAATGATAATTTTCTCGATCGATTCAAATTTAGCTTTTTTTTTAATGAAAATAATATCGTGTGTTGAGAGCAATAGAAAAAAAAATTGTAAATCACGTAACAATTATTTCATGTCATCGTATTTAAAGCATTCTTCTTTATCTTGCCTCACAGATTTGCACTCACGGATAATTTCTCGATAATTTTTCGATACTCTCTTCATATATAAATTATTTACTTAAAAAGCAACTATTTGCATCTCTTCTCTTTCTTGAACTTTTTAACGTGAACTCTTGAAAGTTAAATTTGCAAGCGACAGATAAATCATATGTTTTGTGCGAAACCGAATACGATTTACGAGTGGCTTTGCTTTGACGCGTTGATTTACGTACGCAAATGCAACGAGGTCTCATTCACACTGCGTGATACTCGACTGATCGAAAAATCAATACGATTCTGTCTCCTGACTATCGTATGTTGTCTTTTTTCATTGCCTTGATCTTTCCTCCGCGCTTGAACATATTTCATTGAGTCTTCTACGACATCTATTGCAATCTAAATAAGACACTTGCTCTTACAAATTTATTCTAGTATATTATTATAGATGTTGCGCGTTCGAGAAGGAATTTATAGATCAATAATAGTATGTATAATAAATAATTGTCTCGCGATATAACGAAAGACCGTACAGAATGAGAAGCACAGAAAGATATTTTAAAATTATACTTCTATGAAGTTACAAACTTCATAGAAAAGTGAAAAGATATTTAGGATAATTTTATATATTAAATTAATGATATAGGTGAAATTGTGCATACAAACTGACCTGTTTGTAGCCAATCGATATAACGTAATTTCTTCATTACTTGCATTTAAACCCATTAAAATTTCTAGGCAATCATTAATCTTTTATAATAAGACTATATCAATTATACTAAAATTATTAGATATACATTTTTATATGTATAGTATATAAAAGGCTTAATATAATATAGTAGTGTAGGTACTTTAATTAGGAGAAATGTGAGAATACACGGTTATATATAAAATAATGCGATAATTGCTAATTACACAGGGTGTAATAAATGCGTAGTAAGAAAACGATGTACTTTTTTTATCAACAAAGTTTTGTAATATGAATTCATGTTATTCGATTTTCTTTGTTCTTAAAGTTAGCATCAAATAATTATCTTCTACTGTTGAAATTGTTCACTTGTGGACTATTTTAGATTTACACACGCAATCGTATTTTTATCACATATAATGTTAGAGTTATCTTTTGCATAAAAGGCATCATTTTTATGAGATTTTCTATTATTGTTTTAAATTATAAATTTTTAAAAATGAGATAATAATTTAAATAGCGACGAGGATATAATACATACATATTTATCACAGGTTTTTAATTAAAAGTATTTAATTAAACAGTACTCTGTTTATATTTTATCGAGAAGATAGTTTTTAATGATTTTAATATTCACATATAAATGATTATACCAAATTATTTGTTCAAGAAAATAGCCCAAGTGTATCCAAGTATTTAGTGATCTATTAGTTTGCAATTTTTAAGAAATATATATAATATATATATATTTTATTTTATATATATATATATATATACATATATAATTTATATAATCATATATGTACATATAGAGAATATTGCAATTGCAGATTATTATTATATAAAAGCGTAAATTATTGGTTACTGTTCCATATAAAATGTGTAAGGTTCATTTATTTTTGGGTGGAAGTGATAGAAACAGTTTCATGCGTTCTGTATTGAAGCAATTAAATTATTTTTTACAAAATTAATAATTATTATGTTTTCATAACATATAATTATTTACAATAATATAAAAAACTCGTATTTTAAAATAATAAAAAATGCAATGAGTTAGAAATAGGCCTTATTGCAAGTATGAAATAAATGTTAAATATAGACAAATTTATTTATTTAACAATAAATAAATTACATTCTTCAAAAGCTGGACGTTTTGATTTTCACTTATGTTTCTTCAGCCGCTATCATTTAAATTATTACAAATAAAAACAAACTTATTTACACGGACGTAATACAGTTTATATACGAAGGCCATAATGCATTCGTATAATTATTTATCTCGTTTTATTTGTAATTTAAATGTTCCATCTTTGAAGGATGTAATTTACTTAAATAAATAAATTTGTTTGAATATTTAACTCTTAAATAAATAAATTTGTTTAAATATTTAACATCTATTTCATGCTCGTAATAAGGTTTATTCTTTTGTGAATACTATAAATAATATAAATAATAATAGTAGAAAATGTGTTATCTTCTCAAAACCAAATCAGTACATATGTATGTATACATACAATTTAAAAAAATTATAATTAGTAGTTCCGGAAATATAGTTGAGTTTTTCTATGGTATAATAGGAGCATATTCATAAATTATTATTTTTTTAATCGAATTGTATGTTACTGATAAGCAGATTTACTGTTTATACATTATATGCATTTTAAGTTTTTTAAATAGGAAATTGTATGTGTTTTTTTACTGATAGGCAAAGCATTTTAATTCATTTTTTTATAAAAAACGATCTGCGCCTTTGATAGCAAAATGGACAGAATATAAAATGGTACATTAAACGGTACACTTAAAATAGTACTATAAATGGATGCATACATGCGTACACACATAAATGTTAATGTGGAAAGCAGTTCTTTGGTTCATTATCAGTAATCCTCATCATAATTTGCATCGATAAAACTTCGAATTATTTTTACAATAATACAGGTTTAATATTATACCTCGAGCTATAAATATATCGATTGAAATTAACACAATTTATATGATATATATTTATTTTTATATATAATTTTACATTTTTTTTGATGAAGAAAATATCAAGAGATAAATCTATAAATTCATATTTGTATGAATAAAAATTATCTCACAATTTTTTAATTCTTTTCTATGAATTTTCATGATAAATATTTATGATATTACTTAATATTCGCGGTTTTCTCGTATCAAATTTGTTTCAAATTTTTTTCCTTATAAGCAAAAGCGGAACGTACGTAAAACAATATTAACGTATGTTAGCAATCCATAAGTCATTTTTTTTTAAAATTCTCTATAAAATTCAGTCTCTTATTGGCTTTTATTTTTTCTTCTTTGATAAGAATATAAAATTTTTGAATTATATAGTATTATATAGTTAAGAACACGATTTATATACACATATATAACGATTTATTATTATTTTCGATAATTAAGTATTATGAATTGATATTTGTAATTATAATTTAAAACTGATAAAATAATTTCTGTAATATATATTTTGATATAACATATTATAATATCACAATAACATATTTAATTACTTAGATACTTCATCTTTTCATCGCCGTGTAATAATTTATTTATACAATATAGAATAAAGATTGTAACATAATAGATGTAATAATTAAATTTTTTAATCAATGATAACGAGTTTAAAAGATAAAAACTGACAATAACATTATATTTTATATATGCAGTGATAATCGGCGATAAATATAGATTTGTATCATTAGAGTCACACAGTAAAGCAAGTAAAGAAGTATATTGTTAACCTTGATGAAGTCAATAAAATAAAATCAAGCATTAGCACCATCGTAATAAATATCACCACATTTTATTTTAAATCCGTATTTTATTCGATGTTATCTTTTATCATTTTAATTACTATCAATACCAATCTCTCATTAAATTTTTAATCACACTAATTTTTGTTATCTTTTGTTATTTATCTTTTTAATAGAAGATAATTTTAAAATTATTATATGGCTTGAAGCAAATTTCGTCTGTTAATTTAAATTTCGCAAGGCTTCATTTAATCAATAATTTATTAATTTCAATTCAGTGCGTATTCTATATTTATATATGACAGATGAAACGTGAATAAAACCATATAAAATACAGAAAAAAAATTAATTTAATTAAAGTTTTAAAAAAAATTTTTGATTTCATTGATTATATAATTAAATTAATTACAAAAAATATAATTAATACATCGTTATACATATAAATCTTATTCTTGATTGTATATAATTATATAATAGAATTCTTGGATTACAATTCAAAGTTCAAAGCGTACATAGTAATAATCGTCTTTCGCGTTCGTTTCTGCTTTAGAATCGCATAATGTGTCGTGATCCGGACTTTTGGACGCGTCTCAAAGCTTTTAGCCCATTCCATCTCTCTCTCTCTCTCTCTCTCTCTCTCTCTGTTAGCGCAATACATAAAACTTGGAGGAAACGTGAACCGAATCCCGCAGTGACGTTATTATTCGTCGACGTCATTATGCAGCGCCTGCGCCTCCCCCAAGGATACCGAGAGTGATAACGATAGTGATCGAGAAGACGCGATAAATCAGGATTTCCGGAAAGCTTTTCCCGCACAGACGAGAACGTCGTCTCTGATTCTCTCCGCAGTTCGATCCTTCGCGCCTACGTTGTAACTTTGGCAAGTGTCATTGTAGCGGAAAATATACGAGACACATATATCCCAAATCGGATGTGCACGTTAAATGACAATGAACGGCATTTTTGGACAGAAAGGCGGAAATGTTTTTTTTTTTTTACAGAATGTGCGATGCGTTCTAATGTGTCTCAAATATATCGACGATTTAATATGATGCAGTTGTATAAATTTTTCCGCAGTTCCTAATGAGGGCCCCGAGTAACAAATGTCTTCTCGCTTTTTACAATATCTGTTCTCTAGGATTTATTGGCGAATCGGCGGCACTATTTTTACGGAGGACCACGTCGTCGTTCGCCTCGTATTTCGATCTCTCGCTATAGCGGCCGAAGGCTACGCGTCGCAAAGCCTCGGAGTGCTTTTATTTTACGTAACGGATTTTCCGATAAAGTATCGCGCTTCGACGTTCACCGTTCGGCTCGGTGTAAAATGTTATCCAGCTCGTAAATGCGCCTCCCGGGACGCGTTCTCACTCTTCTTATATAGATACATGATATATAAGCAGGAGATGCATATATATATATATATATATATATATATATATATATATATATATATATAGTTCTGTCATCACACATGAGGAATCGTTTATTTTACGAAATGTTAAACTCACGCGCCCGCGCGCGCTCGTTTATTGAATGAGTGGCCGCGCACGCGGGAATCAGCTGTGGCTACTACGCGCTATGACGTACGCTCAGTCACGTGAGGCGCGCGAAATCGCCGTGCGGTCGCGTGTTTTTGTCTATAGATTGTCGATCCTATCATTCAGAAAAAAACAGTTCGATATGAAAGTTGAAAGTGCAACAATAATTTTGATATTCTTTTAGATTTTAGAGAAAACCTATTATATTATTTTGTGTTAGCAGAATAATTTTTACGGCATATCACAAGTGTTTTTTATTTATATTTATATCTATATTTATATAATTTATGTAATATATGATA